ACCTGTGCTCCAAATCAATCGCATCATCTCGGGTCTTTCCGTCAGAGGTCGGAAAAACAACTTTTTCCGCTAGTCGGAAAGGCCCTAGAAGTTGCGATTGGCTCCAAATTCACAGATTGTGCATTGAATAAATCTAATAAAAATTAAAATGCAAATACATCCAAAAAAATCGCTGTCCTCGTGCGTTCAGAAAATTTATTTATTACAGCAACAGTACCGATAACAGTAGCAGCCATTTTTCGGCTGGATTTTCATCATCATCATCATTTATTTGGTATCATATGTCATCATACATAAAACAAATACACATAAATGTACATAGTCATTTGAAAGACAATATTTGAGAATCCATAAATTTTAAATAGATTTATAAATAGATATTCAGGAAACCATATTTTAGATAGTGACTAGTTGATACCAGGATAACCCATTAAAGCTGGAGAGCTTATTTCCAATGGGGTCCTACCCTAAATAAGATAAAAATACAATGTTTCATCATTAAAGCACTATAACAATTTTTGGCACTATAATTTTAGCACTGCGTTGCTTACACGTTAAATTTAATTTAAGTATGACAACATATAGGATCAATAAAATAATAAAATATGTTTTATAAGTTAATGCTAAAACATATCACTTTCATGTTCTAAAATGCCGTTTTGTAAGATAAAACTCTTAACTTGTTTCTTAAAAGTACTCTTTCCTTTAGTACATTTAATAGAAGCTGGTAAAAAATTCCAGTCCTTAATGCCATTATAGTAAAAAGTATCCGCTTGACATGTTTTCACATGAGGAATAAAAAAATCTTCATTAGTGGATGCTCTAGTGTTTCGTGAAGACACGGCTGACCTTAAAGTAAAATTTTCGCTTAGATAGGATGGCGCACAACCATGATATATGTTATACACATGGTTTAATCTGAGTTGTCGTACCCAGTCTTCTATATTTAAATAATTTAATGTACTAAGCACTTTGTAGTTTATGGAATGTAAAGGAGTTAAATTCAGAATAAATCTTACCATTTTGTTTTGACATACTTGTAATTTCTTTTTCAAACTCTTTGACAAACCTGCATACCATGCACAGCAAGCATAATCTAAATGACATTGTATAAGAGCAGAACATAATAACATTTTACTTCTTATATCCAAAAAACGAGCTTGTCTGTATAAAAAACGCAACCTGTTGTTGACTTTTCGTACAATGGACTCAACAATAAATTCACCACTCAGAAATTGATCAACAAAAACTCCTAAATATTTAACTTTTTCCATAGAATGTATTGTATGTCCATTACACTCAATGTGAAAATCTTGGACACTTGAAAGCTTCTTTCTTGATCCAAATAAAATACATTCAGTCTTCCCAAGGTGTAGAGATAACTTATTATCTACTAGCCAATTTGAACATTGTTTTAAAACAGTACTAAGTTTTTCTGAAATAAAATCTACATTTTTATGAGAAAATAAGATTGCACTATCATCAGCATATAAAATAAGTTTGCAGTCAGGATCAATACTGGAAGCCATATCATTGACATAGATTAAAAATAGTAGAGGGCTTAAAATACTGCCTTGCGGTACACCACATTTTACTGTACCTGGGTCAGACATAATATTTTCTAATTGTACAAACTGTTTTCTATTTGATAGGTAAGATTTGAACCAATCAGTATTTCTTATTCCAATGGCATTAAGTTTTTTACATAAAATTTCATGATCTACAGTATCAAAAGCCTTTTGAAGGTCCAACATGACCATACCTGTAAATAGACCCTTTGATGTATTTCCTTTTATAAAATCAAACAAATGTATTAAACAAGTTTCAGTAGAAAAATGTCCTCTAAAACCAGACTGAAAATCATACAAGATTTTATATTGGTCTAAAAATTTAACAAGTTGTATATGAACCGCCTTCTCTAAAATCTTAGAAACAATACTCAAAATACTGACAGGTCTATAATTTCCAACATCAAGTGAGCTACCTTTTTTGTACAGAGGTTTGATTCTAGCTATTTTCATATCATTGGGAACAATACCAGAAGAGATAGAAAGATTTATTATATATGTAATAGGTATTTTCAAAAAGTTTGCTCCATCTCTAACAAATCTAGCTGGGATGTCATCCAGACCTGTACTTTTGTTGGGATTGAGTTTTAAAAGTTCTTTATAAATAAAATCCTCATTAACAGTTTTAAGTATAAAATTATAATTTTCAACTTTTTTCTTCTGATAAAATGATAAAAAGTTTACAGAGTCAGTATTAAAAATATCTGAACACTTGGGTAATTTGTTAACCAATGTTGAAGCTACATTTATGAAAAATTCGTTGAAATAATTACCAACGGTTTTTGGGTCATGACACACTTTGCCACCTATATTTAAAGAAATTTTAATATCTTGTTTTTGTTTATTTTTAAGTCCAATATCCTTAAGGTGTTGCCAGAGTTTTTTTGGGTTGTCCTTGTCTTCTTCGATTTTATTGGAGAAAAATTCAGATCTCGCTTTTCTTATTTCTCTTTGTGTCTTATTTCTTAGTTCGCAAAAAAGTTTATAATCTTCTTTTTGTCCCGATTTCCTGTGTTGATACAGAGCCCGATCTCTTTCACTGATAAGGTCCAGAATTTGTTGGGTAATCCATGGCTCGGTACGTTGTTTAAGTCGAACTTCTTTTATAGGGGCTATTTCATCTAAAACTTTATTAAAGATGTTTTGGAAAGTTTTCCAGGATTCATTCACAGAACTTGTAAAACATTGATTCCATTCTTCTTGTATTAATTTTTCTTGTAGGATTTCTGAACTGTAGTTCTTTAGTGATCTCAATTTTATGGTATTATGATGTTTAAAATGCCCTTTCGATATGCGCCTAGAACAGTATATAATGGAATGGTCGCTGAGTCCAGTAGATATTGTGTCGAATTGCATTAGGTTTTCTTTTCTGTTCGTTAAAATATGGTCAATAGTTGTACTTGTAACATCCGTAATTCTTGTAGGTTTATCTATAATTTGCTCTAAGTCAAAAATGTTCAAGATCTGGACATATGCCTTATATAAAGGATGTGCTGGCTTAAAATCAATATTAAAATCACCGAAAATATATGTTTCATATTCAGCTCTCAGGGATTGAAGACTATTTTCAAAAGCTTCCAAGAAATCTGATTGATTTGGTGGTCTGTAGTAAATTCCAACTTGTATAGGTTTTGTTTTTGGTAAGAATACATTGATAAATATTGCTTCCAAATTGTTTTGGTCTGGTAGTCGAGAAAATGCATACTTATTGAGTATATATTGACAAACTCCCCCTCCAGTTCTACCACGATCTCTCCTAAGAATTGAGTAATCATCTATGTTTATCTCACTATCCAATACTGATTCATCTAGCCATGTTTCTGTGACTCCTATCACTGCTGGTTTAGATTTAGATGCTAAAAGTCGAAGTTCAGATATTTTTGGCAATAGCGATCTGACATTAAGATGAATAAAATGCATTCCTTTTTGTTTAAAACACTCAAACTGTATGTCGCTCTCATCATTGTTGTTTTTGGTTTCACTATAGTTAGGTCCTGGATTTACTTCTATACCTCCTATGCACAGTAGGATTTTCCAAAACGATTTTCTATGTGTGCATAGGCTAGTTCTATTTAATCTATTTGTTTCAAGTCTGAACCATATAAAAATGATAAGTTTATCGTCAGGTTGACTTGTGGATGATACACTAAAATCAAAATGTTCATATGATTCATGGGTACTGTGTCGTACTGTGTCTTTGTCATTCTTAAAAGAAATGATAAAATTCGCTGCTTTTTCCAAGCTAAAAAAATTTGGTTGGTGACAGATTTTCACTCGTTTCAGCGACACTAACCGGGTCAGAATGTTATGTGATAAAAGTGAACCGGGTCATCGCCCGAATGTCTGAAACAAGTGTGCCCACGAAGATTGCTGCACCTGTCGTTGTCAAACACGTGCTTGGAATCTGTGTAAACATCGGGTTAAAAAAATCTTTTGAATGCTCCCAGTTCAAATCACGCGAGATTTTATGATGTGTCTTCAAAAATGGCTACTCAAGAGAACCAAAAATGGATTTTGTAGAAAAGAGGTAGATTTTCGAATAAAAGCGGTAGGCGGGAGATGGAGTAAAAAAGCGTTAAAAAAAAGAGTTAACATGTATGGAATTTCTGAAAAATTAGAACTGCTCAGTTTTCGTTGAAAATGCAATATATTTCACATGTACCCTTGTCCATGTATTATGATGTCATGAATTGTGTCATCATCCTCAAATCCTTAAAATTTCTTCAAAAATAGGCTAAAAATTTAAGTTGTTTTTCAGTATTTTGCATAGACCCCAACCTCTGATCCACAATGTTTAATTTTATAATGAAAGAACTGTTTCAGGAGCTTATAATCCATTTTTTTTATTTTTTGGATCGAGGGGTGGCCTCATATTTTGAATCTTCGCTGAAGGTACTCAAATAGACCGTCTTTCTTCAAAATTCAAGAACATTGCAATTTCACAAAGCATGTACCTGGACTCTCAGAGGAAACTTTTTATATAGAAAATGAAAGCACTAAGTCTCTACTTTATATTGACGTTTGAAATCGGACGTTAAGACTTGGTCAATTAATTGGTATATGGGCAGGACCATTTTATGAATAAAGTGAACCTAGCTCTTTAGAACCCATCTATTCTATGTTCTATAATGCACTCTAAAAAATTCATTCTCTTTATATGTTCTCTTTTATATGTTCAATACAAATGCAAATTATAAATACTGGTACTTTATATCTAATATAAGAATTAAGTACTTGAGAAATAAATTTTCAAAGAGTAATGGTTTGTAAAGCATGTTAAAGTCTTGTACTGTTATCCTCAAACAAATATGAAAATTTATCACAGTGTTATTACCATGTTGTACTTTGAATACTCAATGTTTCTTTAGAACACTTCATTAACTTCTCCAGTATAAAGGTAAATTATGTTAGCGAAAAATCAAAAATTCCCAGTGAGGTTAATATGCAGATTTATTCTAATATGGATATTTCTTTCCAAATCAATACTTATATCAGTAATTATTTTTTCAATAAACTTAAAGTTTATCATATGAAGAAATCTTAATCAGTATCCATGTTTTCTTCCTTCTTTTCTCTTTTCTCATCTTTCTTCTTCTGTTGTTCTTGCATAGCCTTCACAAAAGCTTCTAAATCTGTAAAACATCACAAAAGTATTTAAATCTGTAAAACATCACAAAAGTATCTAAATCTGTAAAACGTCACAAAAGTATCTAAATCTGTAAAACATCACAAAAGTATCCAAATCTAAAAATATCACAAAAGTAATGGTATATATATAATTATATATGGAATACATCACAAAAAGTATCAAAAACTGAAAAACATCACATATCTTAACTTGCAGAAAATAATAAAATTTTTTGAACGCGTAAAATGTCAGCATGTCTAGATTTCAAATTCATATAAATTATCATTTCCGTTTCAATAAAATAAATTTAAAAAAATGAATAAATAACTAAAGGTACTGTGAGCACTGATCATGAGAACACACAATGATATCCCCCCCCCATACAAGTATAATGGCAAAGTCCATTTTTTGCTATGGCAAACCCAAAATATCTGTCTAATCAAAATGTATAATAGGAGGTGCACAATAGCACTAATGTAATAAAGATTCTATGAAAGTCTCATTACATTTCATTCAGTAGTATAGGAAGAGATGGGTACCCCCAATATTATTGAAAGAATGGCTGTGTCCATGTTTCGCATTGGGAAACCCTTAATAAATAATTATGTGTTCAGTGGAAACGTCGAATAGGAGGTGCATAATGGCACTATGAAAAAAAAAAGATTATGTGACAGTCTCAATAAATTTCATACCTCTTCATTCAGTGGTATAGGAGAAGTTCCAGATAAGAGATTGGTACCCCCAATACAATAGAGAGAATGGCAGGGTCAATGATTTACTATGGGAAACCCCAAATGTTTGTCTGATCAAAAATTAAACTAGGAGGTGCACAATGCCACTATGTTAAAAGATTCTGTGAAAATCTCATTAAATTTTATCCAGTTGTAAAGGAGTTGCAGATAAGAGATGGGTACCCCTAGAAGTAAAGACATACCCCATCTCTCTTCAAGCAAGGGGGGGGGGGATAACTGACCTCCTTGTGCTGCAGCAGTGGCCACATCCTCCCCAAGGTCAAACTGTGACATCAGGGGTCCTAACTGACCAGATTGAAGGGCAGAACTGAATGAAGACAGGGCCTGAAAATACAAACTAAGGAATTAACAAAACATACAGTAAAAGAAACGTGATACTACCTCTTATATTTATTTGTCATTTTGTAGAATTATAATCCTGACTGTGTAGAATGCCAAATATACTTTACAGAGATATTCAGAGAAAGAATACGGAAGAAATCTTTTCCTCCACTCACCTGTTGGAACTGAGGAGACTGTACGGTGTTTCGGAGCTCAGCCTCAGTTTTAGGGAGGGACTCACCCTCGGGGAGAAACTTAATCAGTCTCTCCTGTACTTCTTTATTGGCCAGAATGGGTATCATGGACTCAGGGTTCAGAGCACTCACTAGGTCCACCTCTGAAAACAAAGCACAATTATTTTATCCTGTGTAATAACATAATGGTATATTTTTTTTTTTATGAGAACAATTTAAATGCTAAAAATCATTACTTACGGTCCTTGGAGGGTCCAGAGGGCACTGCAAATAGTAAGATACAGACATAAACATACGTATAAATAATTTTTTCCACAAAATCTAAATTCAAATGAGAAGATAATATTGTACAATATCATTATTCTTTAGACCCACCATTCATGGTGGAGAGTATGTTCTGTAGGTCACTAAGCCTTATAGCTTGTCTCGGTGTGGTGTTTCCAGCACCTGCTGGTTGGGAAGCAGTGGTAGTAGGGGTCTGTGAAGGTAGGGCTGCTGCCGTCACAGGTCTCTGGGAGGACTCGGATCCACCCCCACTTCCTCTTGTCCCTGGGGAAGACTGTACCCTCATGGGCCTATAAAAACAAACACAATTCATTTCAACAGACAGAATTTCTCTTTTGATATAATTTAGTACTTTTCAAATGTACCTCATAAACAAGAAGGCTAAGAGACCCCTTCTTTTACATCAAACACAAAGTGCCAGTTTCATTTTTGGAGTATTTAATCCAGAGCTCCAGATAAGGTGCGTATTTGCAGAGACATGCATTGAATTTTTCAAAATACGCATTAAAAATTAAAACAGGGTGTACAATTACGTTTTAGCAATCATGAATAAGCATTACAATAGGAAAGTACTGTGTACGACAGATTGAATGTTAACTAATTATGTGAAATGAAGTCAGCTCAGTGTTTGAATTGTTATCAAAAGGAAATTTTGATTAAGTGTATTAAATGGAGTTCTGTGTGCCTGTGGAACTTTGCCTCTCGTATGGTCTTTCTGGTGAAAAAAAACGAAATTGTTTCTCAGTTATGGCTAAAAGCTGACAAAATTTTGTATAATTTCCTTAACCATGTGTTAACCTAATTGATAACTGTAGAAAATGTCTTTCTTTTTTTTTTTTACATTCCTCTTTCAAAAACACTTATTCGATAACAAGCTAAAAATCACATTAGATGTCAGAAGAGCAATAGATTAACAAAATACTCTTTGATTATTTTGCTGAAAAGCAAAATCTGCATTGATTTGAAAATCAGGAATACACTTTGGGGTAAAAAATTATCTGGAGCTCTGTAATCTAGTGGAAAATTGCTTGTTAAATTGTACCCTAAAATTACATGCATATGTAAAGTTCACAAATTTTTGTTCAACAAATTACACATGATACACAAATGTGCATCAACTTTAACAGACCTAAAACTATATTTATAATATAAAATTACTTTAAACATTTTCTCTATAGTGTTGATGTCCTAGTTATGGAATACTAGCCCAATAATCACACTTCCTATTTCTCACAAACATTTTAAGTAACTGAAAGCCACTTTTGCTGATCACCTTCTTTCAGAATGACCACCAGCAATACTTACGGTTCTGATGCAGTGGACTGTGCACTACTGGGTCGACCTCCCATCAGGGCAGACAACCCTCCTCCTGGACCTCCCATCCCCATTCCCCCTACAAGTCATACATTTGGTTATATTTAAAATGTTCTGATACTTTTGTATGTCTTAGTTGGAAGGTAAACACAAAGATATATTGGAAGTTCTTAGAATGTATTATTACTTTCAAAGATTAAAGTCCGCATTCTGAGATTCAGAAGCAATGTTAAAGTATTTGCTTTAATAGATATTACATTATATAAAATACAGGGTGATCCAAAATATCTGATACTGTATTGCTTTGATCCTGAAAAAAATTATCATATTAGTACAGTGAAAACTGTCCAGTCCAACACCTGTGCAATCCATTTCACTGTGAACTCTGACCATTACTTTCATTCCCATTCTACTATTTTCCACTGACATCCTTTTTATTCTGCCAAAAATTGTCTCCAAGTGCATATAGGATTAGACAGGTTTCACTGAACATATTTCATTTATACATCATTTTAAACTGCTATGCCTATCATTTTCATGAACTAGTAATACTACTAGAAAACACTGATGTCGACACATGCGGTGTTATGACATCACAAAACTATTAGCCCAATGGACTTTATCTAAGGGGATATTTCAAATATCCAACTTTCCCCCAATATATAAAAATAGAACAACTTTCCTTGAGAAATTTCAAGTTTGTAATACACAAGGAAATTGAGAAATTACTCCAGACAGGTGTAGAAATGGGATCACAAACTCTGAAAGGAGACATTATCTTATGCTTGATTAAAAGGGACGTCATGTATGAAATGTGCTGTAAATAACTGCATTACTTCATAAGATTAAAAAAAATATAAATTATACATGACATATATTGCAGAAAATGTCAAAGCATGTATTAAATTTTGAAATATTTTATTAAATTTTATTGTGCCATGTGGGAGTTTTAATAAGGTATCAGATATTTTGGATCACCCTGTATTAATTTTTTTTTAGTATTTGTACAATGATGATTGTTTATGAATGAATTTTGAAATCTCACCAATCAGTTGCATGAACTGCTGCTGGCTCATTCCACCAAGGATACTCTGCAAATCTGACTCCCCTGTTATAAAGTACCCAACATTTAATTAATGGCATTTGCTTTAAAAAAAAATACACGTGGACTATTTGTTATCTTCAGTGTCTTCTATATCTTAATCTAAATGTATTGCCTTTATTATTTCATAGCATACATGACTGTTAGATTTAAACTTATGAGACAGGTAACTTAACAGATCAAAGTTGGTATGCTGAAAATGTACAAGTAAGTAAATATCCAAAATTTGAGTGTGAGTTTCAGTTCTGACATGTAGAACTCTCCAAAACTGTTAGTCCGGCTTTGTGCAAGATATTGAGGTTTAAATGCACTTTTCTGAAAATGTCCATATTCAATAAGCATAACGTATTTGTCAATAAACAGATTTCAAATAAGCAGTAAAACTTCAGTCTCTCCCACTCAGTGGGACTAAAAGTCCTGGATATTGAAAACTGGTCATACCTAGTCCACTGAGTTCTGAGGGTAGACCAGCTCCCAGGCCGCCACCTCTGCTTGAACCTGGGGTGGGTGGGTTGTTCAAATTGTCATTCACTTTCTTACAAAACTCTTCATCTTTGTCAGTCTTGGGTTCCTGTTCAACACACATAAATTTCATCCATCAATTTCAATCATTCAATTTGGAAGATTTCCTGCAGAAAATTTATTTCCAACAATTCATCAGATATCATCTTTCTTTACCTGCATCCAAAAGAAGAACTTGCGGGCTGGAGACTTGAACTTAAGAACATATACTCTACCAGTGGTACATTGGGGCACATGCTTGAACTCTGTGTCCTCTGGAAATATTATCAAATCCTGCAAAGAAGACATTTAAAAAAAACTTAGCCAATGCATTTACTGAAACATGAAAAGTCTTTTAGTAAATAGTCATCTCAAGACAACCATATATGAAAGTACTTCCCACACTTAAACGCAATGTTTCTTTGTTCTACATAACTGCAAACATGTATAAATACTTAATAACTTATTATAAACAAATATTTTCTCCAATAAGTCAAGATATCATGCTCCCATTGTATCAGCTTGTTTTGTACTGAGAATTCTACAATTTGATTTCTCAGAGAGATTGCAAGTACATGTATAATGTCAATTATTAATGACATACTCGTATCAGTTATAGTAGAAACACAGAGAAAATTAAGTTTTCTTAAAATATTAATTAAGAAAATTATCATTTCCTTTGTTTCTTGGCTTTACATTCCATATTAGGAGTGAAACGATTCACCGCGGTATCGATTCACCGCGGTATTTTTTCTCGGTTTGATACACGGTGCAAAATCTCTATTTTTCGGTTTGGTTCATTTTTCGGTCGTGATCGTTATTCAGTTGGGTTTGCATAAGGTAAAACACGTTACTCAGTGTAAGTAAGTCTAGAAAACGTAAATTTTTGAGGACTGATAGTTTATAAAATAATTTTGACAGTCAAATCAATCTAATCCATTTCTTCTAGTCAATTTGCAAATAAAAATTCGTAAATAAAGTGACTTGATTTAGTAAAAGAAAGCATAAAACAACGTTGAATTTGTTTCCTTCTATCAAAATGTATCATATCAAAAATAACCGTACCGAGACAAAATTATACAATACGTATTGAACCGTGAAGGAGGTGTATCGTTTCACCCCTATTCCATATTATCTTAAAAATCTAATAAAAGTGCGTTTCATTATTTATTTTGAATTATCAAACATTACAGCAGGGTTCGACACTCGTTAAAATTTGGTCTCGCCATTTGGGCAACCTTGGTACTGATTTCAGGTTGCCCGATTGAATTTCAGGTCGCCCGAACAAAATATCAAAAGAAACAAAAATTTACAATAGTTTAAAATTTGTTAAAATATTAAACAGAGGTTATGCTATTATAAAATGTAAACCAAATATTTTTGGAATATCAAAAGCTGTCTTCCAGTATATTATCAAACAAAGAAACAAGCAACAAATATTAATAAGCAGAATCGGAATGCTAATTGGACTTTAAAAAAATTATTTTTTTTTCATGTATAATATTCCCAATTAATCAAGGGTTGGTAGGATGGGATTTTATTTATTTATTTATTTTTTGCTAATATACATTCTCACCTCACATATTCATTATTGACACAAAATAAAGTTTCTAGTTTAAAACATTCATTTTCACTTACCAAAAAGGCCTTAATAAAGGGGGTCAAACATCCCTGGACTGAATTAACCAGGTGTGATGTTTACAGTGGACACCCTACATGGCTGTCTAGCAGCAGAAAACGAACATCAGAAAGTTGTGGGGGAAATACTAGATGTTACAATAATGATCATTACTCTTTATATTTATGGTGATTGTTGTTTTATATCTCAAATAAAACTTAATTTAACACTTTTGGTAAAAATTACATCAGCTGATTGATCAAACACAGATTTGACAGAATGAAAAATCCACGCGGCTGCTAATTGAATGGGTCAGTCGGGTTACCGGAAACAATGTTTTCAAGGCCTTATAAAGTTTATTTTAAAATATTAAACATCATAATTGAAAATTCCCAACTCGTCCAAGGTCGTCATTTGGGCGAGCCAGACTGAAAATCAGGTCGTCCAAAATCAATCAGGGGTGGAAATGACGAGGTGACGAGCGTGAATGTCGAACCCTGTTACAGATTTTATGCAATAATAAAAAAAATTCTATTTCTAATAATCAAATCTAAATTATTCAAAAATCAAGGTTTTTGTTTGAACCGAATCGATTTGAAAATTTTCTGATTCATGGCAGCCCTACACCCTACCCTCCTTTTACTGTAGAAATCCAAAGACCAGACATTTTGCTGGTATATCGGTATTGAATAAACGTATCGCAATACAATATTTTTTGGCAACGAATCATAATATACCGGAATATTGATATAGCACAGCCCTAGTGAAACAAAGTTGTATGTCTTGAACTCCCCTTCAGTGGGGACCCCTGTTTGTTTATAAGTTTTGTTTCTTACCTCAATAATACTTTTATATATCATACAGGACTTAAGAAATCTGGGAAATGATAACAGATATTGGAATATAGGTATGATAGGTTAAGAATTCATGTATTTTTGATAAGTTTTCGAGTCTGACTAAAATTCTCATTTTGGGGGGGGGGGGGGGGGGAGGGGGGTTAAACCGCTACATGTATGCGTTAGGTGCCGTGTACAATACATGATAATCTTGTTGACACATAGTAATATTCTGTGATATATATTTTGAATACAGAACTTGAAGTATTCAGTTTTGAAGGAAGTGTTTTACATTTATCTAAACTCGGTTAGAGATAATTCGGAAAAAATAACGATGACAATACAAAATCCTTACGTCTTCAACGGTCCCTGTGGTGCGGTCTTTCCAACAGAAGTGCATCAGGGCGTCATCTGACTGGTATACATACACCTGTCCCTTCCTCTTATCAGGGTGTACCATTTTACCCTTCATAAACATTTTCCCGGCCCTAAATTCGACCAGGTTTTTGCTTTGAGAACGCCCAGTACTTCCAAACAATGCTCCAGAAGCCATTTTTCTTCAATGTCTGAAGATAGGAAAAGGCAAAGAGTAACCGAACAATCGCCGGAAGTATACTATCTGTAGGTAGACAGGCGTCTCGGCCCACCGACACCTCGGCCCGTCACATATGACACTACAGTCCTCACAGGTCGGCCTCAAATTATTGACATCATTATTAGCAAATCTATTGTGGAAAATGCTATAAAAAATATAGACCTCAGTAAAATTCAATTTCAACATAATTCTTTCGATCTACCGCGGAATAAATATAATATATATACCCTACAAACGAACCATTATAATAAACAATTCAAAGTGTGAATATCACGATACAAATAGGCAATATTATATTTATTCTTAAAAAGAGGTGAAAACATATGTACACTCCAGGGGTAATTGAAAAAAGTTATTGTAATTGACTGTAATTAATTACATCTTTTGAAGTAATTGGAAGTAATTTGTAATTGAACATTTTTTCAATTACTTGTAATTGTAATTTAATTAATTACATTGAAAAAATACCATGTAATTTCAATTACTTTTTCAATTACATTCAATTACTTTATATAATACACATTCATGATATATTCATGATATATTGTTACCACTACCTCCCCATTTTACTGGTTTTTATTTTATTGTTAAAACATATCCTCAATCCTTCAATTAAAGAAAATCTTAGGTTAATGCTTACAAATAAATAATTAAATGATTGGCTTGATAATAATAAACTAGTTTCTTTCTAATCATTATGTTAATTTTGAATTTTTTGATCTATGTTTATAAATATGAATTTTGAACCACCCTTCTTAGGTCTATTCAGCTATGCAACACACATTTGTTGTACATGTATTTCGATCTTTGTTGTTTGATCAATAATAAAGAAAAGGAAGGTGTGTGTCATTAAGTTAGAGTTCTCTCTTGTTGGGAAGAGATAATTGCCCTCCAGATCACAGCTTTAAATTGCAATCAAAACAAATCAACTCCTCTAAAGATATATTCATTCCATGATTTAGAAGACAAAGCCAGTGGAGATAATTATTTCAGTTTAAAATGCTCCGCTAGCTTTAGAAAAGAAATACTTTCAATTTGATAATTATTTTAACATCTAAACAGATTTTTATGAATGAATTTTCCATCTGTACAATTCTGACTTATGAAGTAAAATTGTTCAACATAAATAGCAATTTGAGATGTTCAGGTTACCTTCAAAGGAAATATTTAATTTAAGGGGTTACAGTTGCGACTCATTTTACTCTATTAAAATACTCACTTTTAATCAAATATCATAAGCCATGCAATTTGTGTACATATAGGTTTTGTGTGGTAGAAACTGCATCAAACTGATCTCGGATAGTTCTTTAAGAGATTCTTGTTGTATTGTAAATAAATGTTATAAATTAAACCACATTATGATACACAATGCCTATAGCATATTATTTCTTGTACTGTTTGTGCAGAGGCTGAGCTTATATACAAATAAATGATGTTCTGTATATTCATTGAAAAGGATTATAAAAATTTTCAAAAAAACATAAAAATGTAATTTGTAATTTAATTAATTACTTTTGCAAAGTAATTGTAATTTAATTAATTACATGTCTTAGAAAGCCTGTAATTTAATTGTAATTTAATTGAAGAAAAAGTCAAAGTAATTGTAATTTAATTAATTACTTTTTAAAGTAATTGACCCCATCCCTGGTACACTCGTATATTCTCCAAACAGATATTGATAAATGGTGTCTTTTTTATTAGTTGTTTTTCAAGACCAACCGACTCAAATATCCAGGAATATGAATAAAAATTATATACCAGAAAAATAAGACTTTTTCTACATTTTTTTTTTTTCAAGTTCAATCTTAAAATAATTTTAGTATCAACGTTTGATATGCGTCAGGCGCGTGGCTGCCTCTACGCAAGTATACGCAACTGCGTACACATCACGTAACTGCGTACACATCCCTCCCCCCCCAAAAAAAACCCATCTGGGTGAGAGAGAGAGAGAGAGAGAGAGAGAGAGAGAGAGTTGTTCAGGTAAAGAAAAATCCCAATATCACCCAGCAAATATTTTTGTTTCAAAAAGTTTTCTGTCATTTATTTCGAATAAAATTTTACGTTATCATGTCTACACAATCAAATTTGAAATCTATTATTAAATCGTTACCAAATCTAAATAAATCATTCAATAGTTTACACAATGTAAGTGTTCTGTAGCAGACTGACAATTTAAAAAAAAAAGAAGATATTTGAGAAATTAAATTTTAATCACATCGTTGAATGGTTTGATCAATTAAATTGTATATCATTTTAAATACAATATTTTTTCTATTAACATTTATTTTTCTTGTTGCTGAACATTAAACTATAAGATAAAAGTGCAGACAATACCAATATATTGGTAAAATATCCAGCCTCACGTACACGTATAATAAGTTTCCGTGGAAGTTAACCTTTGCGTTAAAAACAATATTTCTAACTCTAAGTCTTTTAATATTTCTAAACAAAAGCGAAACAGCATGATATTTACTGCAAGAAAGTGATTGAAATATTTGGAAAAACTTAGGAGCTTCCGGGGGCTTTGCTGGACATATTGGGGGCCCCAAGGCGCCCCCGACCCTTTGCCGTTTTCTGCGTACACATCACTTCTATTCTGGCTACGCGCCTGTACGTGAACTTTTTCTGAGTACTCAGTATAGTTTTTTGCTATGGTAAATTTTCCATTATATGCTCCCCCCCCCCCACTTTTCCAGGATTTGGACAGTTAATTAGGATTTTTAGAAATACCGGTATTTATACAAGTATACGTGCAACATCAGATGCTTCAAAATCAATTAATGTGGTTTGTAAGGCATATGCATATTTTCCTTCCATGGAGAGAGTATGACAGAATCCCAGTGTAACGCACCAAAAGATGCACAAAATGAGTGCTATTTGGATCTGGAAACGAAGAAAAATAGATCAAACTAAGACAATCTATATTAGCCAAACTTCCATCTGAAAAAGGATTTCTTTTCCAACAAAATGCACGCAGGTAATCAAATCCGAATCAGATTTGGAAATGTTTCATTTGAATTCAATTTTTGAGGATATATTGACTACAAGAGTGCATGTATAGTCTTCGATCTAATTTTTCCCCAAAGAAATGATGTTTCTGAAATTTAAATCAAATGTGGACATGTGTCATTTAAATTCAAGCTTTGACGATATTTTAATTAAACGTTCATTCTTTTTGGGGGAAAAAAACTATCCATTCTTAAAAAGAATTATTATTTTTTTTAATTTTGGATGCTTAGTGGGTACTTACAGGTAACGTTTGTACAGGTTTGAGGAGTTTGCATAACAATATACCAAAGAATGGACAACACAAACAAAAGGCTTATGTACAGTTATGTTTTAAAATATGACATAGTATGTGAATGTATATAGGAATATTTTGGATTTGGGAACTAGTCTTTATCAAATCTTCTAGATAATAACAACTTCTCACACACATATTAAACAGAAATCAGGTCCGTAGGACAAAATATTTTTAATCCCCGACTAGTTCTAATTATTGTGACGCTGCTGGCAGCTTCAATATTTATAATTTGTTTATTTATGCATATATCTATTTGAAATTTGCTATGTATATTGTCCTTTCTGACATATTTCATTTTATCAAATAAATTCTGAAATAGTGTTGCAGAATTTATTTGATAAAATAAAAATATGTCAGAAAGAAAGGACAATATTGATGAAAAATGTACGAAAGAGTTGTGAAAATTTTAGAACGCAGTGATGACTATTTTTCTTGCTAGACAACTTTTCCACGATTTTACCGGGCAACCCTCGTATTGCAGCATACAGTAAATATTCAGTAAAGCCCCTATCCTATATTAACTGCTGTGATGGAGAAAATCAGACGTATTGTTCTACAACATAGTCAAGAAGTGGTGTAAATCAAATGTGGAACTTTTGAAAACTTAAATATCAAAACTTTTCAAACATCAATAGCATTATAACATATGACTTTATACAATCATTCCTTAAAGCTATATATATGGCGTATCTGAGCTAAAAAATAAAAATACGAGATTGAGTGTAGATGAACATGATATTTGTTATTTAGGTTAAAATTAAAATTTTCACCGAATTTTATCTTGAATATCCCCACGTTTCTATAGTTAAATTGACTTTAAACTGTGTCTGATATTTAAATGCGGAGTCGGTAAATAAATCGGTTATTGTTTTAAATTTCTGATATCTATGAAACGCGATTGATTTATACGGAAGCCCTGGAGGGACATTGACTTACTTGTTATGACTTATTTGTTATAACTTATTTGTTGTAACTTATTTGTTATGACTTTTTTGTTGCTGGTTATAACTTGTGGCTTGGCTTACGTGTATCATTAAAATGATATGTTTATTCCAAGATTAACTGTGGTTTTTGATTGATTAATTGTGCTTTAACGTCCTGTACTGTTGTGGCCATTAAATTCTTATCTGTTTATATCTTGCAACTTTGTTGTTACAACTTAATTTTTATTTGTTAATCATTATTTGTTATTTCTTTTTACTTAATAGTTATTTCTTAATTCTTATTTGTAACTTCCAGTTTGCATAATGATTGAACACATGAACATAACTACTAATTTATCTAGACTAATAAATTCCAATTCAAAATATTACTTTCTTCTTTTCTGAAACTACACGTAGCCTCCATCTTTCACGCCACGTTTTGGGTTAAGTAAATGTGTGATAACAAATTTAGAATAACAAGAATTAACAATTAAGTCATAAGAACTAAGTCAAAACACCTAAGAAGTAAGTCAATGTCCCTCCAGGGCTTCCGTTGATTTAAATTGTGTAATTTACAGGAAAGTCCTATCTTTATATAAAGTAATAAAATAAATAGAAAAATCTTTTTTAATTTTAGTTAGTCTGAACTTATAAAAAATACGCCATATATATATGACTTTAAGATAAATTAAAGAGCAGGCTTTATTAATATCATCTATATATATAGACAACTGCTTCCTTATGGAGGGTAATCTTGTTAAAAAAAATCCAGGTGTGTAAATTCACAATTTGTTAGACTGAACTTTGTTTATCTGATTTCTTCAAATGTAATTTGTTGATCTTAAAGTTATAATAATCAAAATCATAAGCCACTAGACATTAACTACGCGTCACATACTGGACACTTTAAATAAACATTGTAATGAGAGATGGAGAGAACAAAGCCAGATTATCAATATCAGTCGTTGTCTTGAAACTTAACATCAAATTTACTAAGTAGTGATAAATATCGTTCAAGATCGTTGTTCTACTCCAACAGCGGCTTAGATTAGTAGCCACTAGCCATTGATATTGAACGCACTTTTGTTAAGTGCAGGAGTTGTAAGCGCTCAAAGTGAGCGGATCGATCTATTACGATTCGGGAAAGCTAGCTATAATGTAGATTCCTTATTGACAGTCCTCCGCTTACAAAGAATCCCCCTTCTCCACCATACCCAAAAAGTAACTTACTTGTATAATTTTAGTACATTTAGTCTACTACAGTAATTAACCGAAGCTTCCCGCCATTGTATATCTTTTACTCATCTGCGCCCAGGTACTACTCCATTTCTTTTATAATTAAAACTCAATTTAAAAATTCTTTGGCACTCTAAACACAAGTGCTTCTGATAAATTGAGCATAATTTCCTAGCGCTGTGTGTGTGTGTGTGTGAGAGAGAGAGACACACAGAGAGAGAGAGAGAGAGAGAGAGAGAGAGAGAGAGAGAGAGATATTTTTCGATATATGCTGCTCACACGGACACAGAAAAGTGGATTTACCCAGTAGGTTTAAATTAACAACACTCGTCAAATCAAGGGGTTTACCTGTATTTTTATTGATTGAGAAACACTAATATACATAAGAAATACGTCAATTTTCATTTATTCTACACTTCTCTAAATTATATTTCCTTTTTAAGTACTTAGTTCACTAGTTATATTTGGCGTTTCCACCTTACAATTCCTCTTATTATAATGTGAGTACGAGATAATTCTCAAGCTGTCATTTGCAGTGTTTTCCTTCAAAGTAATTGAAAAGAAAATTAAAGATTTTGTCGTATTCGATTAGAATTAAACTCATTCCGTCCTTGTTGCGTCATTTTGAGACAGTTGCGTTTCCACTGTTGATGCTTTGAGTTGTCGGGGATTTTCTTCCGGATGTTGAATTCTGTGTCGTAAAAATATGGCGGAAAACACCCTTTCTCTTACTTTGTCAGTCAAAGCACAGTAAAGGATGAAATTGGCAAAGCCCTGAGAACTGTCCCCAACTCCCTGAAATAATGAACAGATTGTTAACTTGTGTTTAGGGTATGGTGTAGAGATACGTGTACATAACCTGGTTCTATTCGTATAGATTAGTAAATATATATTATGTTGAGCTTCAATAGCCACAACGACACCCTATGTCTCTTTGGAAACTTGTAAGAGTTGACGACAAAGAAACCAGATTAGTCTCAGCTATGATTTAAACGTTGTCATATACAGGCCCGTAGCAACGGTTTCAAAATTTGGGGGGGGGGGCAACCTCTCAAGAAATCTACTAGTTACAATAATCCACAGATGTTCGCGTACCTATCAATTTTACCGAAATTTTCAGTAAATATAAAAAATACGTAATACCTATATTAAAAAAAAGTTTATTATGGGTTTTACGTATTATTTTATATTTAGGCCAAATAAAAAAATATGTGTGGTTCCGGTTACCCGACCGTCCCTATTTTATACCCCCGACCCTAAACTTTTTTTTGGCAATTTTCATATTTTTTCCGGAATTTTCCCCAATTTCCATCAATGGCTCCGGTTTAAGTTTTAGTTTCAGCAATGACGGCCCCCTTGCACAACATAGTGCAAGTGTTTATTAGTGTTAAATCCAAAGCAAGCTAGCATGTAGGTGTACCCTACCAATATTGACTAGTATATTATCACACCACATCTAAATGTCATTTGCAAAGTAGTGATAAGTATTATTTAGAAAAATTAAGAAAATCATTTTGTTTAAAAAAAAAAAAAAAAAAAAAAAAAAAAACCCTACCTACCTACCCTCATTTTTTTGGAGGTGTAACCGGAACCACACATATTTTTTTGTTTGGCCTTACTGGAAATTCAAATTTCGGTAAAATTAATATTGATAGGTACGCAAACTCCTGTGCAATAATCTAACTGTGTCTTGGGACAAGTAATAAAAAACTTAATTGTCCAAATCCAAGAATTTGCCTGTATTCGACCTTTCAAAAAACAAAAAGTGGGGGCCTTCAAACGAAAAATTACTATATCAAATTGCTAAACTCAGAAACAGGGGTTCACCCCTCCCCCGCATTCTATGGATCTGCTATGGCATCGGGTATTTGAATTAATCTTTTTTGAAATCAGCTTACCTGCAGGTATGATATCCACGGTGCGTCGTAGTGCGCCAGATTACCAAGTAGAAATCGAAGCGTCCCCCAAACCCTGAGTACAATGAAAACAACTGGCACAAATGTGAGCTTTAGGTTCGCCTCTTGTAAAGCAGCCTTCCTGGATTTCTTCTTACTTTTTGCCAGAGTCTTCTTATTCGTCTGAAATCAGTTTCATTGCCAGAATATTGACAAGAATTTCATTGTTTTGTTGAGTTAATCGAAAAATAAATAAATATCCTTCAAGTTCAATGTAATTTCTTGATAGGTTAGACAAAAATGTATTTCGATTGGACAATTTCGAGTACTACATGTAGTAGTATGCTTACGTGTTTGAATAAGAAACATCTGACGATAGAGTACATCATTATGGTCAATAGGTAAGTAGACATTTCCCATGCCTTCCCGGTAAAGAACTGCCAGAATAAAATGGCGGGAGTTTTTGGATCAATCCAGCACCAACTGGCGATGTTTTTATCGTAACCAATCACATCAAGTGACAAACTCAAAATGGCGACCAGTCCTACAATGTCAAAAGTATCTTTTTTTTTAAATTTCTTTAGTACAGTGTAGTTTATTTGCTGTATACAAAATAAAGTCACGTGTACTATTATCGAAAAAGGACTTAAAATCCAAACTATTAATTAAATGTTTTAAGATGCCAAGAAACATGGGCAAGAATTATTGACATTATTATTATAAACTACATGCAAAATAACAAAATATTCTCCTATTGCTGCTATATGTTCATTAATCTCGTGCTGTGATTCCTTATTTGGTTCTCTAACCAGTTACGACGTCAAGTCGTGCTACGTAATATTATTTCGTGAGTGTTTCATGAAGTTTTGGAGAATTTCGGCAAAGGGAGAAAGAGGGTCCATAATGTGTACTCGTTTAATTGTTCCTACAACTCTCGTTCCTTAACTTTTTGATTGTCAATATACACTCGGCAAGCGTCATGTGTATTGGCAATTAAAAAGTTAAGGAACGAAAGTTGGAGGAAAAAATGACAAATATTGCGCTAGTTTTAGAACCTACATTTAAGGTAATGCAGAATTTCAAGATCAGGACATGGTAAACTGCCATAATGTTCTTTCTAAAATGAATTTGGGATTTTTGTTTTTATATGTTAATATTTTTACAACTTTCGAGAAAAACAAAAATTGCTCGAAGCCTACTACAGGGTATTACACCTTAAGAGAATGATGCATAGCTTTTGGATTGAATTCAAAGTTTTATCTCTGACAATTTGGCTTTTAACATCATTTTTTGAGGTTCTCTATGAATATCTTTCCTTAACAAAAATATGTATGCATAATTTGGCAAAAGTTACACCAGTGGTCTGTTTCTCAAAATATCTTGAATACTCCATTCTTTAAGATGCAGTCTGTGATTTCGTGACATTCTTTCTACAACTACGCAAGGAGTGAAATTTTAATGTACGAGTTCAAAAAAACCCGAGGGGCCCAGGTTTGTCAAAATGAATATTTTTTATGTCGTCATACTCTACCTGGAAGTGGCCAAGCTATAACATAGAAAACTTTCATATATGTCCTGGCAAACGAAGGCATGTTCCATATTATACTTTTTAACAAACTGACTCCAATTATAATCATCCAAATAAAGGAACTGATGCTCGAAAAAATAGTTATAGCAGCATGCAGCCTACAAAACTCCATGCTCTCGTACACGGAATGACACGTTGTTCCTGCGCGACAAAGCAACCAGACGACGCCGAGAATGTTACCAAAAGCTGTCAAAGCATCCATCAGACTCAGGTAAACCAATAATTTTCTCCCACATGTCCGAAGATCTTTGAAGCAAACGTAAATGGCAATAATTCCAATTCCTCCAAAAACTGACAATGAAGATGAAAGAACTGTTAAAATAGAGTATATTTCGTCTCTTTTCGTGAACTGGAAATTTATAGCGTCGGTTGCGTTCGACATGATTTCTTGAAGTTTCTATAAACATTGAATGACGGGATACCATGAATTAATTACTACTGTGTCTACTTTCGTCTACTGAAATAAAAAATTAATATAATTTAAGTCTAATCTAAATATTATTGTGATTTCAATGCCAAGTTTATCATGCAGCCAGCGCAGTTATGGATTTACGAGATATGGAGTAAAAATTAAAAACGGATTGTTACGTTGTTAAACATCAGGGTTGTCAAGGAGTTAGTGGAAATAAACCATATGGACAGTTGATTGTCTAGGATGTAAATTAAGCTTCACCTTAATTTAGACTCCTGGTTCTGATGTAGGGAGCTTCCCATGGCAGAGAGATGACCTTCCTTATCGACAAACTATAGGTACTCCATCAGGATCGAGTGCTTTGTGGACAGTTCCTAGCAACTGAAATCTGATTGGATCAAGATGGGTCAATTTTCCTCCGAATATTAAGTTTTTTTTATAACCCTTTGAAAGCTTTCAGCGTGCTTATCATAAAATATAAACAATCATATTGACAAGTTAACAATAAAAATATAGACGTTTGCACCTTAAATTAAAGTCTGCTTTTTGTATGACAATTTAAAAATATAATACATAATTATAGAAAAGCAGTGAAAATGGACCGGGTCAACTTTCGACGTTGAAAAACTTTCCTTAATTTTCAACAAAATACAAACATCTGAGTGTAGGTAAATATATTATGGTATCATAAAAAATGAATGAATACATACAGGTGTGCTGAATTTTATCTGTTAATATTTCGATTGATGTAATGTTCTAAGTTTAAATGAAATTCTTTGAAATTTTATTTGTTGCTCTGTATTTCTAATACTTCAGCTTGATTGAAAATATGCGCATGCACGTATTCTGATTTACTGATACTCATTTGGTTTGTTTGTTTGTTGTTTAACGTCTCTCTCGAGAATTTTTCACTCATATGGAGACGCCACCACTTGCCGGTGGAGAGCTGCAAATTTTAACCTATGCTCGGCACTCAGGGCCGTTGAGCAGTGAGGGATCTTTTTCGTGCTAGCATCTACTGCGACACGGGACCTGACCGGTCTCTACGTCCCGCAGTGGATTCGAACCCGCGACGTAAGGATCAACTCCTTAATCAGCGACTCTAGAGCAGACGCTGTAACCACTGCGCCACACGGATACTCATTTGGTTAAATCTGCTTTGTTCCAAAAAGTATGCTTTGGTAAGTTATAGTTACACTATAGATATTAATTGGTTTTGGTAAATACACTCACAGTTTTTCATTCACGAGGGGCGGAGCCCCGATTGAATAAGAACTGTGAGTGTATTTACCGATAACCAATTAATATCAATTGTGTAAGTTACTTGTACCAGAGGACCAATGAGAGAAAAGCAAGTTGACAATTAGCACTGCCTACTACAAGGTGTCAAGCTACGGTCGGGAGTCTGTTTAAATAGCTGTCTCCATCTGCAAGGATCATATTTTGGTGCGGCGCTGCTACTGCAAATCGTTGATAAAATATTCGGAATGGGTACGTGTGATGACTGTGTACCTTAATTTGGAATGTTAAAGACGCAGATAACATGTTTTTTAGTCAGGTAGGCCTACAGGGGTAGCGATTGTAGGCTTTTATATTGAGACCGTCAACTCTGAAAGAAAATTTATTTTTCGAGATCAGTTTTTTTAAATTGGGGGGGGGGGGGGTTCAATGAAAAACATCGCCATTGAAATTTTTCTATGTGGCAATCGACGTACAGAAACCATGAAATGATTTCTGACATTTTGAAGAAAGTTTTGAATGATATTGGAAGATAAAAAAAACGCGGGGACTTCTAATGTGAAATTACTACATGTATTTGGAGACAGGAAAGAGAATGAATTCGAGATAGGACGTATCATTTACTGAATAAGGATACGCGAGGAAACATACAGAAAATTTAAGAAGCAAAAATCTACAAGCTAATGTTAGCATTTTTGACATTAAAACTGTTGACTTAACATTTACATCCACTGAATATTATTTCCTTTATTTTATCATGAAAACCATTGCCATTTATCAGTCAGTAAATGCCACTAAGCAAGCCACCTGCATATGGCTCTTCCATCAATTATGCATACAATGACATACACATCTATAAAACAACATTTAGCATACTTAATTTTACTTTAATTAATTTTTATACAGATATAAATATAAACTTGTTTGTTAGTACGGGAATTAACGTCGCAGCTATTGCAGAAAAAACAAGACGTGTTTGTGAAACACTGATGCCCCCATATGGCAACTTATAACAAAGGTTAAACTTTCTCAAATGCAGTCAAATATGTTCGTACCCAAAGTAAGGTCTTGTCTCAAGGAATAAACCTGTGAAATATGAAAGCCCTGGCAGCAACCATTGAAGTTTTTTCAAAAGTATGTCAAACATTAAGGTCAAGGTCAAATGGTCAAAATTAATGGTGTCCCAAGGAAAGGCCTTCTCCCAAGAAATACACAGGTGAAATACGAAAGCCGAAGCATCAATCGTTCAAAATTAATGACCAAGGTTAAAGTTTCCCAAAAATAGGTCAAACTCAAATGTCAAAGGGTCAAAGTTGCTGGTATCAAAAGAAAGGTCTTGTCACAAGGATTACATATGTGAAGTATGAAAGGCCTAGCACCAACCGTTCAAAAGTTATGGCCAAGGTTAAAGTTTTTAAAAAGTATGTCAAACTCCTAGGTCAAGGTCAAAGGGTCAAAGTTGTTTAAATCCAAAAAAGGTCCATCTTCGCTAGCAAGGGTTTCTGATCCGCTACTCTACTCACAAACCCTTGGCATTCGGTGCTGTTAAAAGTTGGGTTTTTTTCTCGAGTTGTGATTGGAGTTGATCGACATCGTTCGACCAATCAGCAATTGCTTTTGTAAATGATGATATTTGCCTTCGGGATATATCTTGATTCTTTAGTCTCGTGAATGAAAAACCCAAATAAACAACGATTCGTAAGATAACATGCCACTCTATAAATAGATATGGTGTCATCCAATCTTAAGCTGATGTACAAATATAATGATCAGGAATCTTATTGTAGATATAGATTTGCACGATAAATAACAAATAAACATTGCTCGATATCTTCTTGTTAATTATTCTTTAAAAACGTAAATTTTCAAATACGCCTTTTATTTTTGTCGATGACGCAGTTTGTGCGTATGTTGGAAGATTCGAGATCAACGTGTCGTAAACAATCCCAACTTTTGACTGCACCGTATGCCAATAGTTTGTGAGGAGAGCAGCGGATCAGAAACCCTTGGCTAGTGAAGATGAGAAAGGTCTTGTTCACAAGGATTACATATGTGAAGTATGAAAGCCCTAGCACCAACCGTTCAAAAGTTATGGCCAAGGTTAAAGTTTTTCAAAAGTGGGTCAATCTCCTAGGTCAAGGTCAAAAGGTCAAATATGGTGGTATCCAAGGAAAGATCTTTTCACAATGATTACATATGTGAAGTATGAAAGCCCTAGCTCCAATTGTTCAAAAGTTATAGCCAAGGTTAAAGTTTGGTGTAGTAAGGTCAGATTAATAAAATTTATTAAAATATTAAATGTGTTTGTTTATATAATTTCAATGTTTACCTGGCCATGTGCTTGTGTTGTGTTTTGTGTTTTGTGTAGTGTTTTGTCCAGTTTGGTAGTGTCATGTGATGTATTATTATTATAATTGAGGTCTTGCCCTGTTCTGCTATTGGTTAAGTCATTTTGGTCAGTCAGGTGGTACATTTATCCCATGCAGTTCATGCTTTTCACTTTCTAGCCAGACCTTGGTCCTGATACATGTAGCAGCAGGTTAGATTTCTCTTACTAATTTTACTAATTTTGTTGTTTAAATTAATTCTCTATACTTTTGACTATGACATTTAAAGTTAATATAAAGTTTACCTAAAGCTTAGATTTGAATAAGTTAATTATTTTGCTTGATTAAAAGACTTATTGGTTTTAAATAATCTGAATGTTAAAAACTAAATTTAAGTGTGTATGCAGCACCTTGAACTGTTTTATATTATTTTGATGACTAGGTGCTGGGTTACCATATGACAAGTTGTTGTAAATATATAAATCTGAATCAGTAAGCCTCCAGACACATTGTCTTTGGTAAGAACATGTATTATTTATTTTAGATATTTTTATGCCCCCGGATCGAAAGATCCCGGGGGTATATTATTTTTGTCCTGTCTGTCTGTTTGTCTGTTTGTCCGTTTGTCTGTTTGTTTGTCTGTTTGTCTGTCTGTCTGTTGTCAACTTTAACCTTGTCCATAACTTTTGATTGGTTGGAGCTATGACTTTCATATTTCACATGTGTATTCCTTGTGAGAAGACCTTTCTTTGGGTACCATCATATTTGACCTATTGACCTTGACCTTGGAGTTTGACCCACTTTTGCAAAAATTTATGAGACTTTAACCTTGGCCATAACTTCTGAACAGTTGGCGCTTGGGGTTTCAAACTTCACATGTGTATTCTTTGTGACAAGGCTTTCCTTTGGATACCAACAACTTTGACCTTTTGACCTTGACCTTGGAGTTTGACCTACTTTTGAAAAACTTAAACCTTGGCCATAACTTTTGAACAGTTGGTGCTTAGGGTTTCAAACTTCACATGTGTATTCCTTGTGACAAGACCTTCCTTTGGATATCAATCACTTTGACCCTTTGACCTTGACCTAGGAGTTTGACCTACTTTTGAAAAACTTTAACCTTGGCCATAACTTTTGGATGGTTAATGCTACGGCTTTCATACTTCACATATGTAATCCTTGTGACAAGACCTTCCTTTGGATACCAACCACTTTGACCCTTTGACCTTGACCTAGGTGTTTGACCTACTTTTGAAAAACTTTAACCTTGGCCATAACTTTTGAATGGTTGATGCTAGGGCTTTCATACTTCACATATGTAATCCTTGTGACAAGATCTTCCTTTGGATACCAACCACTTTGACCCTTTGACCTTGACCTAGGAGTTTGACCTACTTTTGAAAAACTTTAACCTTGGCCATAACTTTTGAATGGTTGACGCTAGGGCTTTCATACTTCACATATGTAATCCTTGTGACAAGATCTTCTTTTGGATACCAACCACTTTGACCTTGACCTTGACGTTTGACTTTTATTTAAAAAACTTTAACCTTGGCCATAACTTTTGAACAGTTGTATCTAGGTCTTTCAAATTTCACAGGTGTATTCCTGGAGACAAGACCTTTCTTTGGGTATCAACATTTTTTATCTTTTGGCCTGGATTTTGACTTGCATTTGAGAAACTTTAACCTTCGCCATAAGCTGCCATACGGGGGGATCAGTGTTTCACAAAAACATCTTGTTATTACTTTGAATTGATAATGAAAGTATTGGTTACAAAGTATGTTTGACAAATATTTTTGATTTACCAAGCTTAATTACCAAAATCCATTTTTACCTTTATTTTTTATGTTTTATTAAAGCCCTATAAATCTGTTCAGTTAAAATTAAGAGTTATTGCCCTTTATTCAGAGTGCTGTACATACTGTATCATGAAGGAAAGTATAATGTTGAGCATAATGTTATACCATTGTATTTCATGTGATATATATAATTGTTTATGTTGTAATTATTTGATTTGTAGATTTACATGTATTTATAATATATTTTCAATTTTAGGGCTCAATTCATCAAGATGTACTAAATAAAAGAATAGAACCCATACAGCAGTCTTATATTTATTGGACCTGTAACATTGGTAAAATTTTGCAAAAATGGGCCAAACTCCAAGGACAAGGTCAAAAGGTCAAATATGGTGGTACCCAAAGAAAGGTCTTGTCACAAGAAATACACATGTGAAATATGAAAGCCATAGCTCCAACCAATCAAAAGTTATGGGCTAGATTAAAGTTTTTGCTGACAAACAGACAGACAGACTGACAGACAGACGGACGGACAGGGCAAAAACTATATACCCCCGAATCTTCGATACGGGGAGCATAAAAATTACGTAACCCGCTTACGCGGGTTATGTATTTTTTCTGCAACAGCTGCGACATTAATTCAGGTACTAAAAACCAAAAAAACATTTTATTGTTTAAATTCATTCATCAGCCATTGCCAAGGTCTGGAAATTAACAGTCAAGGTCTTGTCACCTTATGGCTTGTTGCCAAGATGATTCATTCATTAGTCAATGTCTTGAAACTGTGGCTTGATGTCAAAAGCGTGACTAAAAAAACTGTGATTCTTCTGGCAAATACAGCACAGCAACATCAAAGCAAAATTTACCGCCAGTCCTATGGTACAAATTAAAGTGTGGGGCCTGTGATACACATGGAACCATGATGATAAAATTAAAGTGTAGGTTTTACCTTTTAAGTACGAAAGTATTGCCTTGTAGTTTATGAAGCTTGTAGGGCATTGGGCACCAAAAGAGTGTAAAGGAGTTGTTTTGGGGAATATCTATGTTACTATTTCCAAACTACAACTACCATCATAAATGGTTATGACGTAACAATAATTTTTCACCGCTATGACGTCATTGTTTTGTCTCTGTGAGAAGCATTCCTCGCGAGTTGCACCACACCATGCAGTAAATACTTTGTTTGATAGTTTCTCAAACATTGATCAGTGATCAATCATGGCTTTCTTTGAAGAGAAGAGATCATATATCCTTGCAGATGCTGGTCTTAACGGCCAAACACGAGGAGAATTTCTGTTGGTAAGTAATTACCTTGGTACATACAGAAGGAAACATAATTTTCTTTCTTCAGTTCAAATTTGGATAATTACAATTTATATATTCATATTTAGAAAATGCATATTCATTATTTAGTTTTCTTTATATGCATTTAGTGAGGAAGAGCCACTGTCTGACTGAGTAGTTTTGAGAAGTTTGAAATTGATTGGTTTTTATGGAGAAACCCAAACCGTGTCCAGGAAAGGAGGACTTATACATGCTGTTAGTATCGGGTTTATATTGTAATGATATAGAATAATCAATTTGGATTGAAAGGCGCCTGGAATCATCCAATCGAATAATTTTATATTTAATCAATCAACTTTACATTACAGCCAATCAGAGCTCACCAATTATTAACCAATCAGTAGAAATTAGGCATAAGATAAAAGGTGAAAATAAAGACACCCATCTTATTTACGCTTACCTGATTCTTACTCATTGCTTGAGCTGTGTCGGGAAATAACAGCATTGTTAATTGGACTACTGAGCTCAGGGATCTAGTTCCTTAGTCAGGCCCGTAGGAAGCAATTTCAGTTGGGGGGGGGGGGGGGGGCACAGCCATACATTTTCAGTTGAGGGGACACTACCAATTACCAAAAATTTCTTGGCAAGCAAAAAAAAAAAATAAAAAAAAAAAAACATCAGACGTTTTAATTACAAGCATATAGTATCTATGTTTTCTATAGTAATGTATATATCGGCAAAATTATTGGGGGGGGGGGCACCCCCCCCCCGTGCCCCCCGGTTCCTACGGCCATGTTAGTGTCTTGGTGACTAGTGTCTTAGTGACTTTAAAGTAATAAAGGTGCCTAAGTGACTTTTTAGCTCACCTGAACCGAAGTGAGCTTTTCTGATCAGAGTGTCCGGCGTCTGTCTGTCGTCTGTAAACTTTTCACATTTTCGACTTCTTCTCAAGAACCACTGGGCCAATTTCAACCAAACTTGCCACAAAGCATCCTTGGGTAAAGGGAACTCAAGTTTGTTCACAGGAAGTGCTGCACCCTCTTTCAAGGGGGAAAATTAAGAATTCGTGAAAATTTGGTGGCGTCATTTAAAAATCTTCTCAAGAATCACTGGGCAAGAAAAGATGAAACTTATGTGAAAGCTTCATTACATACTCTAGATTCAAATTGGTTCATATCATAACCCCCGGGGATGGGGCGGGGCCACAACAGGGGGTCTAAGTTTTCCATAGGAATATATAAGAAATGTCTTTAAAAATCTTCTTCTCGAGAACAGGAAAGCCATGATTAGTCATATTATTACAGAAGTATCCCCAGGTAGTGTAGATTCAAGTTTGCTCCAATCATAACCCCTGGGGTGGGGCAGGGCCACAACAGGGGGGTCAAAGTTTACCATAGGGATATATAGGAAATATCTTTAAAAATCTTGTTCTCAAGAACACCTAAGCCATTATTAGACATATTTATACAGAAGTATCCTCAGGAAGATTAGATTCAAATTTGTTTAAATCATGACCCCTGGGAGTAGGACGGGGCCACAACAGTGGATCAAGGTTTACATAGGAATTTATTATACCTCTATTAAGAATACTCAAATTTGATTGGCTTGTTAGAAGGCTTTTAAACTCAATAATGACTCCAAAAAGTACCTTTTACAGCAATAATGACCTAGGAATCATTGCACGTGGGGTATAATGACCGGTCAATAAAATTAATGACCGCTTAAAATGACCTGTTACTCCAAATTCCATTCAAATTAAAAAAAAATATGCATACAGTAATGATTTTACATTACAAAAATTGCCGTTATAAAAATATGTATAGTATTTTTAGGATACGGAACACGATTGGCCTTTAGATGCGTCATAACATTTATCGTTTTCATTGAAATTAACTTTCGTTACAATACAATGTCAAATTCAACGAACGCAGACTCGGCTCTCTTGTACACTTAAAGTCTACACCAGATTGTCATTGTAGTCGGGAATGGTATCTGTGAATTTATAAAAATGCAATGTTACTGACAATCACAGAGTGTTTTAATAAATCGGCGGTGCAAAAACTTACAAGACTAGCAGCCGAAAAGTGAACAACTTCACTAGCGAATCCCGATCCCGATGGAACACTGATAACAGTTCATAGGTCTTATACATGTAATTGATTATTTTAGTAATTAAGCTTACAAAAATTGCCTTAACTTATATCGGTATAATAAAACAATTGATTACCCCTTATGAGTTCAATATGGTAAAATAAGGATCCTCGACCTGGCCCACTCGCTGACCTGACCTGACCTCGGCCGCTACGCGGCCTCGGTCAGGTCAGGTCACCTCGTGGGCCAGGTCTCGGGTCCTTATTTTACCATGTTGACCGCATAAGGGGTAATTAATTGTATAATATAAGTGTAATGGTTAAGGGGCATTTGAGTAAAACGCATTGAAGACTTCATATACTCAGTAGTGGAATGACCTGACAACCCTTGGAATGGACTAGCCTAAGGGTATATAACGCAAAGCTTTGGGAAAGTCAGGCATTCAGAAGTTAGCTGTGGAAGTTAGACGATGAGTCAGCAATTAAGAAGTTAATTGATGTTAAGCTCTGGGTGTAGTAAATCTGATGAAGATTGAGATAACTGGTTCTTATCTATCAATGGGAACCTAGGGGAGAAACACTGTACAAGTAGTACCTTACCCAGTTCCCATCTCTTAAAAAGAAAAAAAAATTAAGTACTGTGTGATATATCGATCCTCACACAGAGTTGTCGTGATAATCATTCCAATCATTAACTCAAACAGAGTAAAAGGAAAACCTATATATATTCCTTGTAAGAACCTGATCATACCATTACGTAGGAAATATCTTTGAAATCTTCTTCTTAAGAGCAACTAAGCCGTTATTATAGTCATATTTATACAGAAGTAACATTAGGTATTGTAGAATGAAGTTTGTTCAAATTATGACCCCCTTCCCCCTGGGGTTCGGGGCACAACAGAGAATCAAAGCTCTGCATAAGAACATAAAGGAATCATCTTGAAAAATCTTTTGTTCAAAAACAGCAAAGCCATGATTAATCATATCATTACAGAAGCATCCTCAGGTCGTGCAGATTCAAATTTGTTCAAATTTACGGTGGGTAGGGTGGGGCCACAATGAACAATCAGAGTTTTATATAGGAATACATAGAAAAAAATCTTTAAAATTCTTCTGTTTAGGAATAGCAATTAAAGCCATGATTAGTAATATTGATATAGAAGCATCCAGAGGTAGTGTAAATAGAAGCCCCCCCCCCTCCCCTTAAAACTTTTCAATGCTGAACTAATTTTTGTTTGCTTCTACCTAGCCAGTGTGCTCAGGTGAGCGATGTGGCCCATGGGCCTCTTGTTAGGGTGTTTTTCAGGTAGTTGCAGATAGTGTCGCGGGAAACAACAGCATTGTTTGTTAAACCACTCTGTCTGCAGCTACAGAGATAAGGTTATAATAGATCTGATTATAGGCGATTCTTTTGTAATAGTTCGTTTTTAATTAGTTTGAAAATCATTAGGGAAAAAAGTATATATAGTGGATTTCAGTCAGTTGTTATTTTAGTGTCATTTATATTATTGAAGTTTGTCTTGATTTTACATTATAAGCGTGATTCTTAGGAAGGAAACCTAAGCGGACACAATCAATAATCATTTGTACAAAGTAACAATGTTACAATATTTACATCAATCCAAGTCATTATATTTATACGTACCATTATAATATCTGAGTAATAATGACAATGACCGATTGGATCACTTGGTTGTCTTAAAGTCGGACGTATGTCTTTTGATCAAATTTCGAATCTTTTATTTTTTGCATTCTTAATTAGACGCCCATAAGAATTCTACATTACGCTACAGCTTAGATCATCATGCAATACTAAAATTCCCACTAAGTCTCAGTTCTGTATCAGACCAGATAATGAAAGGCGTGTCTGCATGGTGCCCCTGTAATAAGAAACACTTATGGGGACTCTTTATAGCACAGGAGTTCATTGACGGGCTGCAAAGGGTAAAACACCCAAGGCTCTTGACTGCTGAGCATCGTGTTAGTTACATATATAGACATTAATCGCCCTTTCCAGATTCCTTTCCAAACTTTTTTTTTTTTGCTTTTTTTTCTTGTTTTTCTTTTTTGGTCACTTAGCGATGTACCGATTAATCGATTTAATGGATTATCTAATCAAAATGGTCCCCGATTATAGGATAATAATCGATTATAATTTTGATCATCGATTAATGAAAATATTACTTAAAAGCAAATTATTCCTATGATTTCTGGATTCAATCTTGTATTAATGTAAGTAAATCCTATACACATGTAATTAATGACACAGAATACATCAAACAGAATACATCAAAGATGCATTTGATAAATCACTACAATTTTTTACCAATTTATTTTTCGTTCAAAAATGAAAAAAAAAAATTAATACTTCAAATCAATAGATTCTTCATCCGATTCTTGCAATTGACAAATTCAAGTTGTGAGTTTATCAAATTTATTTCTAAAACTGTGTAACACATTTAACTAAGACTTTATAGACTTCTCATGTAGGGAGAGGGCGAAATAAGTTTTAAGAACTTGTGCCCAATCCCATTGTATATATATTACAATAAGATATGTTCAATTCAATCCGATTATTCCGATAATCGATCATGAAAAAAAAAATTCCGATTGCCCATCATTATGGTCACTTCGATCAGCAGAAATACTGTAGGATATATGAGCTTGTATTTGCTTAGAGAATACTTATCTATATGGTCAATTCACATTTTTTCATGGAACTACACAGTAAAGTTTTCCCATTTTTTTTAAACAGATGACTGATGGGCATTTCTGCTGCTGCCGTTCTTACCTAAGTTGTGGAACTGCACCACATCCTTTGTTCGTCGCATGTTCCAGATCATGAAGAGAGGCTTCCAGTACCTGAAGTGTAATAGGAAAATTAAAGTGAAAGACTTTGTCCTTTTTCTTTAAATATATATACTTGTAACAATATTTTTTTTTGTTTATTGAAGACCGTGTTGCATTTAGAAAAGCTAACTCGAACTTTCATCATCAGATCCCTCCCAAGTACAAATATTTCTTGTGAGTATACTCAAATATTTCTTGTGAGTATACTCAAATATTTCTTGTGAGTATGCTCAAATATTTCTCGTATATCAGATTCTCTTGATATTCACCAGAAAGGGTGTGATGTTATTTTATTTTCCTATAGTTTTCTTAACGCATACGAGCAACGAAAAATTATAATGGTCATGAGAGAGGGCGATCTGAATGAGGATATATTTGTTACTTCCCCGGAAACAAAGAAAATGGAGTGCGTGTTGTGCTACAACAAAAGGCTTCTTTATGCAGAGTCCATTGTTCTGGTCGGGAAAGGACAGAAAACCATACGAGAGGACAATTATTTTTTTTAAATAAAATAATCAGTTCATAATTTTATGTCGAAGTTTTGTACTTTGATTAATTTTTCCTGCATTTGACAGATTAGAACTTGGACAATTTTTATGTGGTTTATTATTTGTAATTTAAAAGTACATGTAGTTGCATGCAAATTGAATAAAAGTACTTTGCGTACTGATTTTAATTATAATGTCAACTGAAAAAGGAATACATATGTTTGTTATCGAGTTTCTGTTTATAAATTTACTTTACACACAAGCAATGCTAGGTGATATTATTTAAATAATACAAGTAATAGCTTTTCAAAAAGCTTGCCTGACTAATCAATCAATATCTATGGAACGTATATGCAAGAGAGGTGCTAAACGTTTCCGTCATCAAGGAGCGACATAGTTGCGATACTTCATTACAGAAGATGTACAATTGACTTTCTTAAATGTCATAACCAAATACTGCAGATTAACGAATATCTAAGACATGCCACTATTTGGTCATTTATTAGTTAGCCCACGGGCTGACTAGTTACCTTGGGATGAAACTGCAAGTGCGCTAGCGTAGATTATAATCAAAGGCAGATCAAGCACCGGCGCGCCGGGCGTGCGCCCCCCCCCCCTCCCCCCGTTTGAATTTTTTGTATGTAGAACTTACATGTTCATTATCCTAAAATCAAGGAAAAAACACCTCTTGTTTGTAAGAATTCGACAGCTTCCGGGGGCTTCGCCCCCGAACCCCCATCAGGGCTTTGCCCTGGTCCCACTGGGGTTTCAATACAGCCCCCCAGACCCCCCATGCCTTCTACTGCGCCCTCCCGTTATGAAATTCCTGGATCCGCCACTGATAATTCTGGGAAAAATAGTTAGATGATTCTTTTTCAAGAAATTCATTTTACATGTACTCTCTTACTAGAGGGCGCGCTTCTTCATGCACACTCCCTGGTCAGTGACGACGGCCTCTATTTATAGACTGGTCTGTTTTCCGTCGTTCTCGACGACGAAGTAAATTATGAACAGTTTTAACTGAGAAAGTTGTCTTGAAGTGTTTGAGACAAAAATGCTTCAATGCTGCTCTAGAAATCCAAGTAAATGACCTGTACACTTTATAACTAGCGCAAAACAAGATACTAATAACACCCCCCCTCCCCCCCCCCCCCCCGGACAAAACTCGCACGATGATGGTCTTACCATATACATGTATTATAAATGAGTTTAAAATACATCTTTATAATTGTACAGTTTTGAAATTGTTTAGTTTTTCTTTTCAATCGATTTCAGGACCTTTCTCATATTTATAATAACGTGCTTTTTTATGAAATGAAAACCAGTACAGATCATTATGTCTTCTTCTTTAACATTACGGGAGTGAAGCCCATTCCGCTACGGGTGCTACGGGTACTGACTACACTATTGTCACTGTATTAAAAGGAAACCCTTGTTCATCACAAAGCATGAAATAAGATGCTACTCGCGTCATGACTTTCTAAGCTTTTTTAAAAACCTAACCTTGTAACGCACATTATTAATATATGTAATATTGAAAAAAAGGCTAGGTGGAAAACAGACTGAATCAAGAAGGGAGGTCCCATTTACTAGGTGGAGGGAGTTTGTTTATGATTAGACTAGTCCACTTATGGGATAAATAGTAAGAATAATCAGCAAATCCATTGCTTTATTGTTGCCTTCCATATACAATGTGTTCTCTAAAAAAATGAGATAAAATTTACTGTTAATAAAAAATCTGGAGCTTAAGAATCATGTTAAAAGAATAAACTTTATTTATTTCCATAGAAGTTATCACACCCATTCAATAGAACACATGGCCGTAGGAACCGGGGGGGGCACGGCCCCCCCCCCCCCAATAATTTTGCCGATATATAGAATACTATAGAAAACATAGCTATATGCTTGTGCCCCCTCAATCATAACGTCTGATGACCCTTTTTTTTTTTTTTTTTTTTGCTTGTCAAGAAATTTTGGTACATGATAGTGCCCCTCCAACTGAAAATGTATGGTTGTGCCCCCTCAAAGTGAAATTGCTTCCTACGGGCCTGGAACAACCCAAGAAAAAGGCGCGAAGATAATTTACATGTGACATTTGGTGCGAAATGATTGTGTCACCCCTTTCACAAAAGCCAAATGGACTGATCCAGTAGTTTAGAAACGCAGAAAAAGTGTTACACGGACATGTCCGTACAAAGAATCGCAAAGAATAAACATGTGCATGCAAAAAAATTGAAGGAATTAAACACATCATTATTTTGCATCAGTTATGTGATTCTTTCTTCTGCACACTGTATTTGTTTAAATGCAGGTAACAAATTCCGATGTAAATCAGCTTGCACAAAATCTAGTTCATTAAGAGTGATCGCTTAGTTTCGGATCCCTGAAATATTAATCCTTATACTGGCTGACGCACGTGGCGTCAGGCAATAATACTTTCTTTGGTTGTTAGTATGGGAATTTATGTTGTAGCTGTTGCAGAAAAAATACATATTTTATAACCCGAGTATAATCATAATCTTATAAAGTAGGATTAAGTACGTTAGATACTGTATTATATATTGATATGTATACCGTAACGTCATTGTATGTTTCGTTGATGGAAGAGCCACAACTCAAGAAATTATACAGATGGCTTGCTTGGCAGCGTTATTTTAAAGTATTGATAAATGGTTTTCAAAAGAAATAAAGGAGATAATATTCAGTAGATGTAAATATATAAAATTTATTTTACTTCTGTTAAAATGTTTCCTATATCATGTATATAAAGTTAAGAAGGTAAAATAACTATCTTTATAGTCTCAAAATTTCCACACATAGCAAAGCTATACCCCGGGGTATAGTTTTTGCTATCCACCCCTCAGAAAATTTTCATGCAATTTTTGCTGCCAATTTTGTGATTTCCTGTAATGAATCTATAGACTTATGATGTCATCCTGACTTCATTAGCATTGTGATGTCATCAGGATTTCAGCTCATTCTAGCAGTGTTATCTTATTCCAAATACTTGTTCAAAACTTTTATAATTATTTTTTATTCATGTTTTTACTATCGAACTGTAGTATCAGGTAAATCCAACCCTGAGAAATTATGATATACATCAGTATAATAAAACGCTTATCCACTGGCTGTGAGTGGGATAGCTCTTTCATCAAACCCTTGACAGGAACTATTCTCCTCGTGCAAGCCCTCGGGGAATAGTTCCTGTCGAGCTCTTTTATCAAACCCGCCACAGGAACAAAATTAATGGTGCCCAGGGAAAGGCCTTCTCACAAGAAATACACATGTGTATTATGAAAGCCGCAGCATCAAAATCGTTCAAAAGTTATGACCAAGGTTAAAGTTTTTCAAAAGAAGGTCAAACGTCAAGGTCAAAGGATTACAATTGTTCGTATTAAAAGGAAGGTCTTGTCACAAGGACATGTGAAATAGGAAAGCCCTAGCATCTACTGCTCAAAAGTTATGTCCAAGGTTAAAGTTTTCCAAAAGTAGGTCAAACTCCAAGGTCAAGGTCAGAGGTCAAAGTTGTTGGTATCCAAAGAAAGGCCTTGTCACAAGGATTACATATGTGAAGTATGAAAGCCCTAGCACTAACCGTTCAAAAGTTATGGCCAAGGTTAAAGTTCGGTAAAAATTTTCAAAACTGGGTCAAACTCCAAGGTCAAGATCAAAAGGTCAAATATGATGGTACCAAAAGAAAGGTCTTGTCACAAGGAATACACATGTGAAATATGAAAGCCATAGCTCCAACCAGTCAAAAGTTATGGGCAAGGTCAAAGTTTTTGCGGACAAACAGAAGGAAAGACAGACAAACGGACGGACAGGGCAAAAGCTATATATCCCCGAATCCTCGATACGGGGGCACAAAATATTGTCAACTGGCAGCATACGCTTTCGTAAGCTTTGAAGATTAATTCAACCACGAAAAATCAGTAATTTTCATAATTTTTTTCTTGACTGAATAAATCTGATCTTTATATTTCTCTCACGATCATTCAGCTTAGAAGCACCTATACAATAAGTATACAGGCCCGTAGGAAGCAATTTCAGTTGGGGGAGAGGAGCACAGCCATAGATTTTCAGTTGGGGGGCACTATCAACGCACTCTATTTGGAAATTATTTTTAGATGTCAGTCAGGCGCATTAGCTCAGTCCTAAAAATATGTAGATTTTGTCCTGATCATGGACTTCCGTTGCTGTCAAACGTAATGGCTATTGTCAACTTGACATTTGCAGTTCCTAATGATGTTTCCATGAAGGAAAAAATACTTATAAAGGGTATATCGATGATGCATTTCCCCAAAGATTAAATTGATATACATCATTAATTAAGTTCCAAACTTTGAAGAATTCCGCATTTCAAAAATTGAGCTTGGTACTACTTCACCAACATTATTCGTAAAAATTTAAATATTTCTAAGTGTGCTATGCAGTATTTAGATGTTTATATTGACCCTATTTTTCGGTATCACGTACGCATGTATATACAATCAATGCCACCAATAATCTGAGTCCATGTGGAGTTACATCAGATTTTATTTTTTCAAAGAATTCTCATTTGAAACATTACTGATCAATGTAAAAGTCAGTTTCAGTAATGAATAACAAATACTATGAGGAAATTTTATATGGAATTTAGAGATAGATAATGCAGTAAAATAAGACGTATACATATATAATAGTACATATATATATTGTTTGTTTGTATGTTGTTTAACGTCCCTCTCGAGAATTTTTCACTCATATGGAGACGTCACCACTTGCCGGTGAAGAGCTGCAAATTTTGTCCTATACTCGGCACTTACGGCCAATGATCAGTGAGGAATCTTTTTCGTGCCAGCACCTTCTGCGACACGGGACCTCGGTTTATACGGTCTCATCCGAAGGACCGGTCTCCACGTCCCACAGTGGGATTCGAACCCGCGACGTAAGGATCAACTCCTCACTCCGCGACTCTAGAGCAGACGCTCTAACCACTGCGCCACGCGGGCGACTACATATATATAGGGTTCCTCTGAAAATAATTGGAGCAGACATGACTGTAAAAGTTGATTAGGATCATATTGTTGGTAATGATTAGCGAAATGGCTTCTATCGTTACAAAAACTGACATTTCAAATTTATTTAAAAAAAAAAGAAGATGTGTTTGTGAAACACTGATTCCCCCGTATGGCAACTTATAGCAAAGGTTAAACTTTTCTCAAATGCAAATCAAATATGTTGGTATCCAAAGTAAGGCCTTGTCTCGAGAAATAAAACTGAAATATGAAAACCCTAGTAGCAACCATTGAATGATATAGAAAAGCTTAAAGTTTTTTCAAAAGTATGTCAAACATCAAGGTCTAGGTCAAATGGTCAAAATTAATGGTGCCCAAGGAAAGGCCTTCTCCCAAGAAATACACAGGTGAAATATGAAAGACGAAGCACCAACCGTTCAAAAGTTATGACCAAGGTTAAAGTTTTCCAAAAGGAGGTCAAACTCCAATGTCAATGTCAAAGGGTCAAAGTTGTTGGTATCCAAAGAAAGGTCTTGTCACGAGAATTACATATGATTTCCTTATTTTGCATAAATTAACATACATTTACATCAAAAACATAAACTTTCCTTCATTTACATAGAGTATCATGCATTAAACATTATATATAAATTTGCATAAAATGACCTTATTTGCATAAATTGGCATATATTTACATAAATTTACATAAATATGCGTAAAATTCTTTTAATTTGCATAAATTAGCATATACAGGTAAACTTCGTTATCTCGACATCGACGGGACCATCGGAAAATGTCGAGATATCCGAGGTGTCGAGATATCAGAGTTGAGACTTGACGTCCAAGATTTCACTGCATAACCAAACACATACACGTGTATAAACTTATTATACGTACATCAATATAGACTGTAGGTCAACTTATTTCAGCAATCCCTCTATTTTTATTAAAAATCTAAGAAATTATTTTTAAAAATCTTATTTATAAAACCTGTTCTTTCTCTTTATCGAAATCGTTCTAAATTTTTGTAGTTTTCCATTCAGCATTCGCGTGTTACTTGCTTTTTTGTCAGAACAGGATACGAAATGCGCTCTATAAACTTCGAACCGAACCGTATAAACATGATAAATTAAAGTCGACCTCCGAGATACGAAAACATATTAAGTGCGTAATTATTTTTTTTTTCTTATTTCATTCAGGAAGAATGTGCATTAATATTATTTTTTTAAGAGATTTGTGTATCTAAACTAACGTAGTGATATCACAGATGCATGAATTACGGATGATTCGGTTAATCGTGTCGTTAATTGGATTATTTCCTGTTGAATGCATTTTAACTACGAAATATTATTAGAACATCATTTAATTCTTTAGTTTGAATTTATTTAATATGTTTATTATTCTTTGTAATTTAGTTATCTTTTTCAGTTTTAAAAATTATGTTCGGTTTCGACATAAATAAACACCTGTAAATTTAAGCAGAATCGTGTAGATTTAGCAGTGATATTACCCAACCTGAACATTAAGCAATTAACGTCTCAAAGACGCCGAGGGGGGCTTTGGATTCACCTACAAACACAGTCTATAGAATTAATCAAGCAGCGTGCAGTCAAAACATGGGTGTGAAAGGTGTAAATTTTTGACGACGTCGAGATACCCGGAGCTGTCCGTGTGTGACGAGCGACCCTATCTGACAAACAGTTAGGTTCAGTGGAGCAGAAAATTGCCGATGTCGACATATAACCAGGTAAATTTTGCTCTTGGGACTGTGAATATACGTCGAGATAACCAGGGTTGTCGAGATTACCGAGGTCGACATAACAGAGTTTTTGCAAATCATTTATATAGTAAATACTGCCGGGACCGCGGACGGACGTCGACATATCCCAGGTTGTCGACATATCCGATGTCGAGATACCGAAGTTTACCTGTATTTACATAAATTAATTATTAATTAATGTATATATGCTAATCTATGCAAATAAAGGTCATTTAATGCAAATTTATGTGAATTTATGTAAACCTACGCTAATTCATGCAAAGTAAGGTCATTTTATGCAAATTTATATAAATTTATGTAAATGTATGCTAATTTATGCAAATTAAGGTCATTTTTTTGCAAATCTATGTAGAATGTGAAGTATGAGAGCCCTAGCACCAACCATTCAAAGCTTATGACCAAGGCTAAAGTTTTTTTTCAAAAGTAGTCAAACTCCAAGGTCAAGGTCAAAGGGTCAAAGTTGTTGGTATTCAAAGATAGGTCTTGTCACAAGGATTACATATGTGATGTAAGAATGCCCTAGCACCAATTGTTCAAAAGTTATGGCCAAGGTTCAAGTTTGGTAAAATTTTGCAAAAATGGGTCAAACTCCAAGGTCAAGGTCAAAAGGTCAAATATGGTGGTACCCAAAGAAAGGTCTTGTCACAAGGATTACACATGTGAAATATGAAAGCCATGCATAGCTGCAACCAATCAAAAGTTATGGGCAAGGTTAAAGTTTTGCGGACAAACAAACAGACAGACGGACGGACAGGGCAAAAACTATATATCCCCGAATCTTCGATACGGGAGCATAAAAACAGCATTTATTTGAAAAGAAAAAAACTGACATTTTCCAGAGTACCTGCCTTTACAGATTTACACCAGCTTAAATGTGTTTATTTACACATATATTAATTTCTAGTTTCATTCGATTTCCAAGTCTGGTTATATAATATAGTTTCTCAGATACACAAAAGATTACATGTATGCTTATAGAACATGGGCATTTGGCGATTGACAAGTATTGGGGGGGGGGTAAATATGTAACAATAGATGAATATTTTGAGAAGTATTAGTTTTAAAAATGTATACCAACAATATTTTGGACCATTTCCAAACTCAGCATAATTCTTATATTCGATATATACCTATTAAAAACAGACAAGTACAGAGTGTGTTTAATGACAAGTTTGTTAGGTTTTATCAGAAAAAAATAATAGTGCATATGAATGTAAATGTACATATAATATGTAATACTCGGCGATTGGATGATTTTTTTTTTTCTTTTATGGAGAGATATATCTCAAAAGCGTATAGGAATCTTTTTGTCGTGTGATCATCTTCGCTAGACAAGGATTTTCGATCCGCTCTGCTCCCCGGCCATAAACACAGCCTTGCCTAGCAAAGCTCCGGAAACTTTGATTTTGACTACTTTTGATATAGCCCTTCTGCAGAATTTCCGGTTGCGCATGTGTAATGGCGTTTCGCCATGTTGTCCTGTTTGTTTTGGAAGGCTGAGGTCATAGTACACTGACAATGTGCAACATATTGGGTAAATTCGCACTGAAATAGAAGAACAGTTTCTTACAGTATTTCAGGACAATTTTGATCGAAATGTTGAAAGAAATTCTTACTCAAACACAATTACGAAATTTAAAAGAGCATAAATATAGTGCCACGGGACAATCGCTTATTGAGCCGTATTTTCAAGTTTATTGGAGATGGTTGATTGAACAGATCCCCATGACATGGGCACCTAACAGCATCACACTGCTTGGACTTATCATCAATGCAGTGACCACTCTTCTTTTAATTATATGCTCGCCGGACGGCGTAACAGAGGTAAATATTCAGATAAAAATACGAATTTCCGGTGGAGCAAATGAGCAAATTTAGGGCAAATCTCAAAGATTTTTCGAAACTATTTTCTAAATTATATTTCTCTTACAGACTTAAATGACATAAAATTTTGTTTACTATTCATCATATAATAATGAGTGATGTTTCTAAATATGGTCGCACCATCACAATTATTATTACACTTGTGTGCGTTGTAACTGCTGATTGACAGATTATCACATGAGCCTTAGGAAGTCATTGACCCTTATACTGTCATATACATTGTTATTGTTGTGTGCTTGTATAAAACACTGTTTGGTAACATTGGGACAAAAAACCCCCAGTTGTAATGGTCTCATTATAATAAAAATAATAACGTAAAACTTAGGAATGCAGAATATATGTCAATAACCCTTATATCATATACATGTAAAGCATTTAAGGGGTCTCGATAACAATGAACGTATGTCATATATAAAAACAAACATGAGAAACTTTTAAGTTAAAAATTCTATGCTTTAAAGAATTAATGTTGTGTTTAAGAATGAGTCTTACAATGCACCCTTATCATGCTTATTTAGTAGACTAAATAAAGTGAAGATAATAGGATTTTTAATATACTTGGGAACTCATAATCTTTGTCATTCTGTCAATATAGTTTTAAAAATCTTATTTCACATGTTTTAATTAGTGGTATTTATCAACTCAATCCAAATTGTTAAGTCCAATCCAAAAATGATCTGAAAGCTAATTGTTTTGTTTGGGTATATATACAATAAACTGGACATAGGTTGCATTGTTTTATAAGGCTCCATTGGCTATCAAACTGTAAGATAGCCTGATCTGGTCTGATAGTGAACATTATGAAAAAGGTATTGTATTGTTATTGCATTCTCTAAATAGGACTATAGAACCTGAAAAGTTGAAAATGTAGATGTATGTGATATTTTAACATTTCTTATTACTTTGATCCACAATGATGCGATTGTGCTTCTAATCCATGATGATATTACATTTCAAATTAAGCTTTCATAAAAGTATACAGCAAAAATAGTTTTATCAGAAACTTGTTACCAGGTTACACAGGAATGCATGTATATCTTTTTACTGAACAAGTAAAACAAGTGTTTAACTCTGGGGAAAAAAGTGCCATATCATTTAGGAACAGCTTTTTATGATAAAAATGAATGTGAACAGATATAATATGTTACATACAAAATATATTCATGATATATATGCAGATTTATTATTGGACTTTGAACCAATGTGTATAGGAAGGGATAATACAGTAATACAATGTTTTGTACCAATGAATATACATTTATATAATGATGAGTATGTACTGAACTATACAGAAGGAAGTCATTTACATGACTATGTTCATCATAATTGGTATTGAGTGTTAATTACTTGAGGGTAATGACCATAAGGATCACGTATGAAAGAGAACATAGATATTTTACTGTACCATATGATAATAGCTGTTAATACATAAGTACATTCCTAATGAGTTTCCTAGTATGACATTGACAATGCAGAAAATAAAAAAAAAAAAAAAATAGGCAAATTTCAGGATTTCTTGGGTAGTAATGTGTAAAATTCCATTGAAAAATAAACAGTCATGCAGTGATTTCTCATCATGGGAAAATTATTAAAGGGAAGAAAATAAATTATTTTGAAATGTATTACAAAGAATTATGTTTTTTTAATGTCTGTAAAATCCTTTATTTGTAGAAAGTTTTGGAAGTGCATGCATGACATATTTTCAATGACAGATAATCATATTTTTAAAATAACATATCAAGTAATTTTAAGAACCCAGTATAATATAATGAAGTATTTAAGCTATTTAAATTGATTTTAAAAAAGTCCACCAATCAATGAAAAGAAAATTCTTAGAATAAAAGCCAAAGTCATTTTTTTTAAAGATAAATAATTTTCTCCATCATTTTTACAGGCTCCCCGATCAGTGTACCTCCTTTGTGCCTTAGGGGTGTTTATCTATCAGTCCCTGGATGCCATTGATGGGAAGCAGGCACGCCGCACGGGAACCAACACCCCTCTAGGGGAACTGTTTGACCATGGGTGTGATTCAGTGTCCACAGGTACATGTTCCAGAGAGAGGTTACATTATAACATAACCTTATGTTTGAATATCTCCAAGTTTTCTTGGAAATTAACGTCAGTAAATATATACATATACTAGATAGGTTTTAATTTCATTTTGTTTGCTTTCACTATCACCACAAAATATTTATTGACATAATGATGTATCACATCCTGGTTAGCAATATTTTTGTGTTTGAACCAATATCTTTTCTTTCAAGTGTTGCCCTGTGTTGTCTATAAAAAAAATATAAAATAAAATCATCAGTACTGAAAATCTGTTAATACTACAATGACTGGCCTATAAATCAACACAGGGAATACTTGCTTTCTACTATATCTGATAACAGTACATGTAGTATAGTACAATATCAGTTATGAATGCACCCTCCCTATTATCTACCAAGATATGTACACTTATGTCACAGATGGGCAACCTCCTCCTCGTGGCAGTAATTGTATAGTTTTTGAGTTAATATGATGTAGCAGTGTTTACATGACCCTGCTAAGTGTTTGTGCAATATGTTGCAGGGATTAATTATGCAGTAATTAATCATGGTTGATATACAGAATGTATCCTGATGATTATAGCATTACATCTGTCATATGTGATATTTAGACTTCATATCAGTGGAAAGCATTACATCACAATTAAGTATATAATAAGAAAATTATGTGGTTTTTTACCTAAGTAACATTTCTCCAAATTATAACTATCTTTCCATCTTTTGTTGTAAGTGATGGTGAAACCTCTGTGATTAATCTCAAATTCCAGACACACAAATACTTGATTTTTTTGTTTGTCTCTTACTTTAAATATCTTAAAAATCTGTTCGTACTGGTAACTTAAACAGTTGATATTTAGCAGCCAGTTGGTGGGTGTAAAAAAATAACATAATCAGTAGTAAACTGTACAGAGTAGCATTGTTTCTACCTTGGGCAATCCTTTTAATGTCATGGCAGAACTAAGTTATCAAGATATTGCAAACTTAAATTTCTATATATTTGTTGCATTCTTTTTTTTTTTTTTTTTTTTTTTTTTTTTAGCTCACCTGAGCTGAAAGCTCAAGTGAGCTTTTCTGATCACCCGTTGTCCGTCGTCCGTCCGTCTGTCTGTCTGTCCATCCGTCTGTCTGTCTGTCCGTCTGTCTGTCCGTCCGTCTGTCCGTCCGTCCGTCCGTCTGTAAACTTTTCACATTTTCAACTTCTTCTCAAGAACTACTGGGCCAATTTTAACCAAACTTGGTACAAAGTATCCTTGGAGGAAGGGGAGTTTAAATTGTTAAAATAAAGGGCCAAGTCCCCTTACAAGGGGAGATAATCAAGAAAAGACAAAAATATGGTGGGGTCATAAAAAAATCTTCTTCTCAAGAACCACTGGGCCAGAAAAGCTGAAACTTATATGGAAGCATCCTGGGATAGTGTAGATTCTAAATTGTTAAAATCATGACCCCTGGGGGTAGGGCGGGGTCACAATAGGGAATCCAAGTTTTACATTGAAATATATAGGAAAAATCTTTAAAAATCTTCTTCTCAAGAACCACTGAGCCAGAAAAGCTGACACTTATGTGGAAGCATCCTGGGGTAGTGTAGATTCTAAATTGTTCAAATCATGACCCCCGGGGGTAGGGCGGGGCTACAATAGGGAATACAAGTTTTACATTGAAACATATAGGAAAAATCTTTAAAAATCTTCTTCTCAAGAACCACTGGGCCAAAAAAGCTGAAACTTATGTGGAAGCATCCTGGGGTAGTGTAGATTCTAAATTGTTAAAATCATAACCCCCGGGGGTAGGGCGAGGCCACAATAGGGAATCCAAGTTTTACATTGAAATATATAGGAAAAATCTTTAAAAATCTTCTTCTCAAGAACCACTGAGCCAGAAAAACTGAAACTTATGTGGAAGCATCCTGGGGTAGTGTAGATTCTAAATTGTTCAAATCATGACCCCCGGGAATAGGGCGAGGCCACAATAGGGAATCCAAGTTTTACATTGAAATATATAGGAAAAATCTTGAAAAATCTTCTTCTCAAGAACCACTGAGCCAGAAAAGCTGAAACTTATGTGGAAGCATCCTGGGATAGTGTAGATTCTAAATTGTTAAAATCATGACCCCCGGGGGTAGGGCAGGGCCACAATAGGGAATACAAGTTTTACATTGAAATATATAGGAAAAATCTTGAAAAATCTTCTTTTCAAGAACCACTGAGCCAGAAAAGCTGAAACTTATGTGGAAGCATCCTCAAGTAGTGTACACTCTAAAATGTTCAAATCATGACCCCGGGGATGGGGGGGGGGGGCACAATAGGGATTCCCAAGTTTTACATTGAAATATACAGGAAAAATCTTTAAAAATCTTCTCAAGAACCACTGGACCAGAAAAACTGAAACTTATGTGGAAGCATCATGGGGTAGTGTAGATTCTAAATTGTTCAAATCATGGCCCCTGGGGGTAGGGCGGGGCCACAATAGGTATTACAAGGGGGGAAGTCTGGTAATGAACAGCATGGCCAAAGTTACTCAGGTGAGCGATGTGGCCCATGGGCCTCTTGTTATTTGTTGCATTCTAAAATTATTATTATAAATACTTTTCCATAAAATATAACATACCTGTACAAAGGTTGTCCCAAAAAGTTGTAGACAATGTTTATATCTTTGTAAACATTCAACAAATACTAACCAAATTTTGCATTGCCATAATTTACTCAATGTTCCGTAACATAGTGAATTTTCCAATATATAAAGTAATGATATGACGATTTATAGGAAGGCTGATATGGATTAATTTACGTATGTAACTATATTCCAATTGCATTTCTTTCTCTGGTAATATGTAAAACATCAAACTTATAACTATATCAGTGAAACCAGAAACAAAATTTTGGTAATATTTGAAATTTTCACTTGAATAGCATCATAGACCGAGGATTGGTGTTGTAAATTTCAAAGTGTTGTTGGAATTGAGTTTGCTGCAAATGATGTTGTCAAGCATGTTAGTGGCACAAGGAGATCGAATAAAATTGTTTTGAATGGGTTTTTCAGAGACAAAAAGAAAAGACATAGAAGTGACATAACACACAAGAAGGTTGTAGAGAAGTCATTTTTAGCTCACCTCAACGAAGTTGGGGGAGCTTATGTAATACCCTCGGCATCAGCGTTGGTGTTGGCATCCCAGGTTATAGATTTTGGAGCAGTTTTCTTTTCAGGTACTTCTATGCCCTATATTAATCAGAGACGCATGGAAGATGCTTCTAGTGTGTTTCATTGTACCAGTCAAGGTTTCAGATGCTGCAATTTCAGCTAAAGAATGACCAGGTTAATGTTTTTGGAGCAGGTTAAAGTTTATGGAGCAGATCTCATTTCCAAGTAACTTTAAGTCCTATGTTGACCAAACTTGCATGGATGATACATCTAAGGATGCACAATACTGGACTTGCTTCAGATGCTGGATCTGACCTATATTTTCAGGATGAGTAACCAGATTAAAGTTTTTGGAGCAGATTTCATTTCCAAGTAACTTTAACTCCTATGTTGACCAAACTTGCATGGATGATATATCTAAGAATGCACACTACTGGACTTGCTTCAGATGCTGGATCTGACCTATGTTTTCTGGTTGAGTGACCAGGTTAAAGTTTTTGGAGCAGATCTCATTTTCAAGTTACTATAAGGTCTATCTGAACCAAACTTGCATGGATGATGCATCAAGGGACGAACACTCTCAAACTTGCTTCAGATGCTGGATTTGACTTACATTTTCTGGATGAGTGACTAGTTCAAAGTTCTTAGATAAGTCCATTCCCAAGTAACTGCAAGTCCTATCAGACCAAAATTGCATAAATGTTGCATCTAGCGATGCACATTACTAGATTATTAGTTTTGTGTGGGACTTTGCCTTACTTAAAGACAATATTCGTTGAGGTGAGCTCTGTAATCTCTGATTACCTATGTTTAAATCGTATAAGAGATTCAAGGACAGTTTTTACCTCCGTACCGAAGATTGTTATGCCTATAAGTAGAGTACTATTTGTTAAATTCAGATAGTGAGGAACGTTATGGGTTACGGTCAACGTCAAACTTTGTGTATTCTCTGCTACCTACAATGTAAGGCGATCTCTCGAGGACTGAAATTTGAATCTGATTTAAAAAAAAACTGGACAGTGGTGAATTTTAGTAAGTTCCCCAGTCAATAGTGGTTTTCCACTTTGAAAATTAATCAGGTGCTTAAGAGACACATGTTAAGCACACAGGACAGTACTTAAAAAATGATCATGAAGCCATAAGTGATGTAAATTCTGTTTGGTTTTGTGCGCCAATGTACACTTATATGCTTTCTCCATTTTTACATGATTGTCAAATGTGTTATTATCATGAAACTTTGAATTTGTGATCATAGAATGTTGCTCTTTACTATGACAAGAAAAAAAAATTAATTTAGCAAAAAGAAACTTAATTGGTTTCCCTGTCTATGACTTTTTGGGAGAACCCTAGCATATTTGAGAATGCATAGAATTGTGTATTATTGATTTTTTCCTCATTTACTTGACGTGTTATTTGTATGTTTTATACATGTATATTGCACCCAATACATATTGATATTCTGATCAGACAAAGCCTCCTCTATGTGAGTATATTATAACTGTTCTTAACAATTTTACCTATTGTTGACAGTGTTTGTTGCACTGGGTGTATCCATCAGTCTGGAGCTGGGTCGGAACGTCCACTGGATGATGTTTAATATCTTCCTGGGCATCTTCCTGTTTTATATGGCTCACTGGCAGACCTACGTTACAGGGACGTTACGGTTCTCATTGTAAGTTACCTCCTTATGTTACGTGCACACAAAGGTACTAACTGTAAGTTACTTGCTTAGTTATAGGAATGTTACTAGTTAGGATTCTCACTGTAAGTTACCTATGTTACAGGGACATTAAGATTCTCACTGTAAGTTACCTACATTACAGGGACATTTAGGTTCTGTAAGTTACCTATGTTACAGGGACATTAAGATTCTCACTGTAAGTTACCTACATTACAGAGACATTAAGATTCTTACTGTAAGTTACCTACATTACAGGGACATTAAGGTTCTGTAAGTTACCTATGTTACAGGGACATTAAGATTCTCACTGTAAGTTACCTACATTACAGAGACATTAAGATTCTTACTGTAAGTAACCTACATTACAGGGACATTAAGGTTCTGTAAGTTACCTATGTTACAGGGACATTAAGATTCTCACTGTAAGTTACCTACATTACAGGGACATTAAGGTTCTGTAAGTGACCTATGTTACAAGGACATTAAGATTCTCACTGTAAGTTACCTACATTACAGGGACATTAAGGTTCTGTAAGTTACCTATGTTACAGGGACATTAAGATTCTTACTGTAAGTTACCTACATTACAGGGACATTAAGGTTCTGTAAGTTACCTATGTTACAGAGACATTAAAATTCTTACTGTAAGTGACCTATGTTACAGGGACATTAAGATTCTTACTGTAAGTTACCTACATTACAGGGACATTAAGGTTCTGTAAGTTACCTATGTTACAGGGACATTAAGATTCTCACTGTAAGTTACCTACATTACAGGGACATTAAGGTTCTGTAAGTTACCTATGTTACAGGGACATTAAGATTCTCACTGTAAGTTACCTATGTTACAGGGACATTAAGATTCTCACTGTAAGTTACCTACATTACAGAGACATTAAAATTCTTACTGTAAGTGACCTATGTTACAGGGACATTAAGATTCTCACTGTAAGTTACCTACATTACAGAGACATTAAGGTTCTTACTGTAAGTTACCTACATTACAGAGACATTAAGGTTCTCACTGTAAGTTACCTATGTTACAGGGACATTAAAATTCTTACTGTAAGTGACCTATGTTACAGAGACATTAAGGTTCTCACTGTAAGTGACCTATGTTACAGAGACATTAAGATTCTCACTGTAAGTTACCTACATTACAGAGACATTAAGGTTCTCACTGTAAGTTACCTATGTTAAAGGAATTCTCACTGTAAGGTACCTGCATTACAGGGATGTTAAGATTCACACCAAAAGTTACCTACATTACAGGGATGTTACATTTTAACATTTTCACTGTAAGTAACCTACATTACAGGGATGTTAAATGTGTGTTGATTTTGTGGGTCAGCCATACCCACAAATTTATATTCCCACAAACAACTATTTTGTCAAGGTACCGATTCATTGAATCTACTGTATAAACAATTACCCACAAAATTGCATCCCCCAAAACTAGTTAATATTTGCTTACCCATGAACATTGATTCTCATGAAATAAATATTATCATAGCACTATTTGCAGCTATATTTGACAATGACTGGGAGTAATGTGTATTTCAGGTTTGATGTCACAGAGACCCAGGTTCTAATCATGTCATTATATTTCCTCAATTTTTTATTTGGATCCCATATATGGAACTTCCAGGTTTGTTTTATTAACCATTTTACAAAGCTACATATATTTATGTATATCTTTGATATTAACCCATTTGTTTCGATAGTTACAGTAGTTAACATACTATTTCAAAAAGTTTATAATCAGGATCTAATAACTGGATAAAAGACTTTATAAAAATCCAGCTTAGGTGTTGGTGTCAGTTATGGCATCCCAAGTTTAGTTTTCTAGTAACCTAATCCCTGCTTTGACCAGATTCACATGGATGATGCTTCTAGGGATGCACGCTACCAGACTTGCTTCTGATGCTGGATCTGACTTACATTTACTGGATGAATGACCAAGTTAAAATTTTTGGAGGTCCATTGCCAATCAACTACAAGTCTTATCTCAACAAAATTTTGCATGGATAATGCATTTAGGGATGCACACTACCAAATATGCTTTGGATGCTTGGTCTGACCTTCATTTTCAAAGTTTTGGAGCAATGGACTTTTGGAACAATTCTATTCCCAATAGCTACAAGCCCTCTCATGACTAAACTTGCATGGTTGATGCATCTAGTGATGCACACTACCAGATTTTCTCTGGATGCTTGATCTGACCTACATTTCTGTATGAGTGATGAGGTTAAATTTTTTTAAAGCAAGTCTACTTCTAAGTAACTATGAACTCTATTGTGACCATACTTCCACAAATGATGCACACTACCATATCTATACTTCGGATGCTGGATCTGACCAACATTTTCCAGATGCTTGAACTGGTTAAAGTTTTTAGAGCAGGTCAGTTCCTGAATAACTATAAGCGCTATGGTTGACCAAACATGGGTGAGTCATATAGTGATGTACACTATCAGACTTGCTTCAGATACTGGATAACTGGATCTGACCTAAATTTTTCCAGATTATTGATAAGGTTAAAATTTTTGGAGCAAGTCCATTCCCAAGCAACTATAAACCCTAAAGAGTATACAGTGACCAAACTTGCATGAATGTTGCGTTTAGGGATGCACACCCCCAAAATATTCATTTGGTTTAAGACTTTGGGTTATTTATAGATAATTATTTGTTGAGCTGAGCTTTGTAACCTTTGATACATTTTATTACTACGTTATACATGTATTAACACAGAGGAATTTTTTTTTAGGTTCCAGTTATAGGGGTTCCATTACGCTTGATTATGATATATTTTAGCCTTGCTCCTGCTTTTCTTCAGTTTTACAACAACATAGGCATCATTTTACAGGGTGGTTCTGGCAAAAATAAATCCACAATAGCAGTAAGTATTAACATTAAAATTTCTTGTGACACAAATGCGGTGTTTTTCTTTGAAGTTAGCTGTTCTGTATTAGCAATACAGAACGGGAATACAGTGGGCGGAGCTACTTTTCGTTCTGTATTAGCCCTGTATACTCTCTTGTATTAGCCAACTGTTCTGTATCTAAAATACAGCACGGTCTTAAAATAAATCTGATTCAATTTATCAAAAGTACGGAGAAATATTAAATGCTGATTTTTTTTCCTATTGTAAATTTTGAAGAATATTTCCTTAGGAATGCAAAATGTCAAAATTTCTCAATCACTTTTAAAAAATTATTCCACACAGAATGTACACGTTATTTCGATCCAAACGAAAAGGAAAATTCGCAATTATGGAAAACATCCTATGTTGGATAAATTCCTGAAAACCTGTTTGCTTTCCCTGCTTTTTGTGTCCCCTTCAAAATAGTAAAGCCAATGGGTTCGCGGATGCAGCATACATTACGTGAAATTCTCCCTCTCCCCTATTTTCCACTCTTCTCGTGCAAACTCAGTCAAGTCCATTTTTCAGTTTTTTTTTTCCTTTTTTAAATTTCCTCTTAATTCCTTAACGCTGATGACTGCCGCACATCTCTTTCACTTCGTTTTTTATGTCGCATTTCAGTAAGAAAAATAAAAATCCGTAACATCAAAGTCCATCGAAAAACTGTCTGTATTGCCTGTATGTGTATCTAGTTTAACTGAGATTTTAAGACCCCTGAAATAAATTAGGATCAGTCTCCATCTACAACAAGGTTAAATCTCCCACCTTTTCAATTAAGACAAACTTCAAGTCTGTTTCATCTACCCCGTTGTCAAAACGAATCTGACTAAATCTTACGTTGTCTGTGGAAATATATATACTGCGGATGTATACTCCCCGTCGCGGCCTCATCTACAGAAAAAACAAACTAACTCTGGCAGAAGTTTTGATGCTGCATAGCTATGAAGTGGGCGGAGCTTTTTTTTTGATTGATCGTGTCACAAATCATTTAGAGAACTCAACAGGTTCTGTATCGTAGATACAAATTTGGGGGTGGAGACTCATGCTACGCACTCGTCAACCCCCAAATTTGTATCAACTATACAGTACCTGTCTTGTTCTCTAAATAATACTTAGTACATACACAAATTTATCATTATAGCAGTATGCCTAGGATGTACTTACAAGTAATTTCTCTTTGTTGTTTGTATTTCTCAGTATTTTTGGAGAAGAAAGGATTTTCCGTCTCTGTCAGAATATAATGAACAACAAATTCCCTGCGGTGTTAAAAAAATTAGTTTATTTTAAAAAATAGTTTATCCCAAATAAATGTCAAATATATGATACATGTATACTGTTTGCTATGTTGGACAATAATGATACAGTTGTGCCTCGTTTATGGACAGTCCACCTTTCCAGACCATTTTTAACTCACCTGAGCTGAAAGCTCAAGTGAGCTTTTCTGATCACCCATTGTCCGTCTTCCATCCATCTGTCTATAAACTTTTCACATTTTCAACTTCTTCTCAAGAACCATTGGGCCAATTTTAACCAAAGTTGATACAAAGCATCCTTGGGTAAACGGGAGTTTAAATCGTTAAAATGAAGGGTCAGGCCCCCTTACAAAGGGAGATTATCAAGGAAAGACAAAATAGGGTGGGGTCATTAAAAAATCTTCTTCTCAAGAACCACTGGGCCAGAAAAGTTGAAACTTAAGTGGAAGCTTCCTGAGGTAGTGTACATTCTAAATTGTTCAAAGCATGGCCCCCTGGGGGTAGGATGGGGCCACATTATGGAATCAAAGTTTTACATTGAAATATATGGGAAAAATCTTCTCAAGAACCAGTAGGCCAGAAAATGTGAAACTTATATGGAAGTTGCCTGAGGTATCGTAGATTCTGAATTGGTCAAATCTTGACCCCTGAGGGTAGGTTTGGGCAACAATAAGTATTACAAGGGGGAAGTCTGGTGAAGAACAGCAGGACCAAAGTTACTCAGCTGAGCATGTGGCCCATGAAATTCATGATGATCTATATTTACTACAGGTCTTTTGGGAAACAGCAGGGCTTAAGTTACTCAGATGAGCATAATGGCCCATAGACCTCTTGTTAAAACAGGAGTTACACAAGGGAGACAACTTTGAAGTGTAAATTAAGAAGAGTAAAAGTAGAAATTGTTTAGGAAGTTTCATATAAATAGAGGCAAAATCAAAGCAATATACATGGAATAAGTTGATGGATGAAAATCATGTTATTTTTAAATTGATTTTAGTTACAGTTGTAGTTTGTTTTCTCGAACACTGATATCTCTAGTACCAGGGATATGTCGAAGTGAGTTGGCAGTCCCAACCACTTATTTTTTTTAATGTTTTTAACCCTGGTTATCTTGAATCATCAGAAAGCTCAAAGTTTAATCTTGGTTCCATTGAGTTTGAGATAATGAGGGGTTGACTGTATTTACATTTATTTACTTATTGGTATTTAATTTTTGCAGGGAATGTAAGCCATTTTTATTTTGTTTATTGCAGGGAACCAGCACAATATTTCCTGTATTTCCAATAGGAATTGTGATAGTATTAGCCATAGTAATAGCTCACAAATCACCATCTCATTTATTTGAAAATTACCCCTGTCTCTACCTCCTTAGTTTTGGCCTATTGGCAGCAAAAGTCATCAACCGATTAATAGTAAGTACACTTGTTCCTAGTAGTAAAGTACACATAAACACATTTATTCCTGGTCATGGGGGACAAGGGGAAAGTTTCAGAATAGTAAAAATATATATGTATCGCATCTTCTAAATAGCTGTTTCATGTTTATTGATATTGAAAGAAAATTCAAAGAATAAGCTGTTGCACGTTTATCCACTGATTAATGCTTTGCTGTCTTTGACAGGTAGCTCACATGACAAAGAGTGAGATGGACCTCCTGGATTCTGGGATTTTGGGACCACTTCTACTCTTCTTAAATCAATATTTCAACTGTTTAATAAATGAAGCCTTTGTCCTGTGGATTTGCTTTGTAAGTACTGCATTAGGCTTCATCCTTATCCACATTTAATTAATGCTTCGGCAATTACAAAACTGTGTCAATAAAGAAGAATGAGGTCAAGAGCAGACATACTGAAACGATAAGTGGCTCCTTATTTCATTTACTCCTAATCCTCTTGATCCAATGCTTGCCTACTTAGTATTAAAGGCCTGACTTGTTTCACAGAGTATAACTGTGTATTTTATATGTTTCTTTTTTTTTGTTTTTAGTTTTATGTGTCTCAGGATGTCTTGCGATATTGCATAGCAGTGTGCCAACAAATTTGTCAGTTTTTGGAGATATATTGTTTTGACATTGTGACACCATATCCAGGGAAAAAGACCTCCAAGCAGTCGTGAGAAAAAAAGTGAGCAGCAGCAAGGAATGCTGGGATGTGGAGAATATTTCCACATTCAAGCCAGCACTCACCAGCTAAAGATCAACTGAAGCATCCAAGAGGAGACAACTCGTACAGATATGTTTTAGTTTTAATGTGTGAATGAGGGGACAATTGTATGGTATTTTAAAATTAATTTTTTTTTTTAAGTATGACAGTGATTTATATTATGGCCAGGGTTTAGCAGTATTTTATATGCTTGTCAAGTATCATTTATACAGGAATTTATTTTTCTTGGTCACTTGTATATGAGCTCTTTTTAATATATATTTTTTTAAAAATGCATTTATTGAGTGTGTCAAAGTGCTTTAATTAAATTGAAATGTAGGATTATATTTGCTCACTTCAGAATAATTTTGTATACTCAAATCAGTTTCCAAAAATTCACTATGAATCATTTGTTTTAAACAGGCAATTGGTTTGTAATTTATTTATCCAGCATTAAAAAAAAAAGAGTTTTAAAAAATCTAAATCTTTGGTTCTAGTAAAATGGGAAAAAAATTAAGTGTTTTAAGTGCAAACATGTATGATAATTTAAGGGTCACATTTTTTGTAATGTTCTTGTATGAAAGAATATGTTTAGATACTATGTATCTAAACAATCCTAAAAGTTGAACAAAAGCAAGGATTGGGCTTTAAAGTTCTGCAATTCTGTATTCCATATTCAAAATAGTCTGACATATATGAATTAAGTGCTATTAAATTATATAGCATTAGGAAGGATTATTTTGTTTCGATATTTTGAAGCATAAATGTCTCAAAACATAACTCACATGTACTGTATGTCTAAAACCTCAATTCACAAGACAGTAGTTTTTGTTTCAGGAAAAACCTTTTCTTTTAAGGGGGATGGGGGTTGGGGTGCAAAAATCAAAATTACTGAAGAGCAATGAATATTCAAACTTATGTCAAAATTTGTCGAAGTGGAATGTATTCTTAGTACTCTTTATGTATATTTTACACATTTAGCATGCTGCAAAAATGCAGTCACTGTATAATATACATTCCAAAAGATGGACTTAAGGTAATTTTTAGCAGGCACTCCTGGAAAGTTTATTATGAATATTGTTTACAGTAGAAAAGTATTTATAATTCCACCACCCTATTCAGAGTACAGTCACTACCGGTGTAGTATCTATTCAGTGGGTAAGCTAGGCATTTGCCACATTTTAATTTTTTTGTCCTGTTTTTTTTTACTTTGTCTCTATGATGCATGTGGTGTAAAAGTATGTAATGGGTTCAGTGGTTCATGTATTTATTATTTCTTCTTCACATAATACATGTATATTTTTCTTATCCTCCATTTCAAAATCATTGTTTGTGGTTAAATCACATTTTGCTCTTTGTGATAAGAATTTGAAGTCAACATATTTCATGTTTGTATCATTTTTCATAGAATTTGAATTAACATGTATGTCTTTACTCTTTTTCTTTGTTTTACATTTTCATTTTTTTCTTTCAAGGAAATTAATCAGCTTGATTTGCAGCATTTATATTTACAATGTGGAAAAAAAGATAAATTTGCATGCAATTGAACAAACATAGAATAGTATATTCTGTTTGATGATAAATTCATAAGTCAAAAATACTTTTTTCTCATCTTGTTTCTGATCCTGGCATTTTTCAGAAACAGACTCTGCAGAAACACAATACAAATGTTTCATTTTTATTTTCAGACACTATATATTTTGTGTTAACAGGCTACATGCCCATTGTTGAAATAGCTGTGATTTATTTTCAATTTCTACAATTCATATCTTTGAATTGGATAAACTGATGTCAACAGTTGTGTTTATTTCAGTCCCATACCAATAAATTAAGGGCTCTGTAAGTTTTGTTCTTTCATTTATCCACTAATTCATCAACGTCTTTGTGTTTCACAATTCTCCCTTTCATTGTTAAATGAAATGTATTTCAATCAAACTTTTACCATGATCACCATTGTATATAAAAGCCCTGAATGACCATACATTTTGACTGTTACACTTTATATACATTATTGTCACTTAAGGAAGTTTTATCCTGTGGTAAGGGAGATAATTCAAATATTTACAGATCACTGTGTTTCTTTCATAAAATTTCTCTTAACAGTAGTTTGTGTAAAATTTTGCCTCATGTGTTTCGCAAAATTTGCTTGAATATTTTTTCATTAGAAAATCATCAACGTTACTGGAGCTGTCAAAATTGCAGCAAAATTTATGACAATTGTAGCAGAAATCCTCAAAATTCTGGAGAAATTTGTTAAATTTATTGAAAAAATTGTAAAAATTACAGAAAATTTCAATTATAGTAAGCAAAAGGTCATTCTCCCTTAACACCAGTCGATCTTTAACTAAAAACAGCTTACAGTATTACCTATACATTTTATCCGGGAAATTTTTTTTCAGTTATCAGTTTTGCAAGAATAGTGGGTATCTGTCAACATTTGTTTTCACTCTCATTATGCCCATGGAAAGATGGGGTAAACTGGGTACATGTTTTGTTTTGTAAGCAATACTCATATATTTCTTGGGTTTGTTTTTTATGTTTTGGTTTTTCATTTCAATTTTGTAAGCTTGAGGATGGTTGTTAAGTTTTATTCCAATGAATTTTTAGTTAACAAATTTTAGACACTCTTTTAACTAAGTCCACCTTTATCCATTTGTCTCTTGCTCTACCCCAGAGTTACTGAAGGAGAGTTGGACCTCTTTTCCTCAAAGTTTTGCAAGACAATATGCTTCATGAAATATCTGTGATTTTTATTTCATCAAATTATAATAAATTTATGAAAATGTGTGAAGGTGTTTGTGTTTGTCTATGCAAAATACATTGGCATAATAGATCTAAAAAGATGATTATAAATTGCCCTTGATGACTTAGAACCTCTTCTATTTTGAGTACCTCTTTATAAAGGATGTATAGGTACCGTAATTATTATCTATAGTTTTAAGTTGAAGATTTCCTTTATTGATAATACTTATATGACTTCTCCTAAACCTGGCTTAAATGGTTTGAACATATTTTATTGTCTATAAACTTTACAACTGGGATTGGGCAAAAGCTTAAATAATACTTGGAGGATGAAATTATAGAGAGGTAGACAAATACTCTAAAATACAAGGTATTCATGTCAACACTGAACAGGGATTTTCCATCTTTACCTTGGATTTTTCCTGCCCTCAGTAGAGTTGGTGAGGTTTTCTATTTTTACCTGCTTTCAGTGAAATTGGGGATCCCAGGATTGTATTGAATGGGGTCAAAATTCCAGTACCTGTGTGCATACACATGTAGTCCCTTGATCAGTGTTGGTTAGATGAAAATGACATTTTAAATGATATTGAAGTAGAGCTTTTTAGCTCATCAACTGAGCCGAAGGCTCAAGTGAGCTTTTCTGATTGAAATTTGTTCATTGTCGTCATAAACTTTTCACATTTTCACCTTCTCCAGAACCACTGGGCCAATTTCAACCAAGCTTAGCACAAAGTATCCTTGGGTAAAGGGGTTTCAAGTTTATTTTAATGAAGGGCCATACCCTCTTTTAAGGAGAGAAAATTAAAATATAGTGATGATAAGACAGATAACTCACACTAGGATAAATGAGTATTATTCCTTTATAAAACTGTAAAGTTGAAAGGCCATTCTGTCAAATTTTGCCCTGCAAGGTATGTTGAAATTGAGTGCATTTTAAGATTTTGTCTGGAAAGTAATTACTGGTAGGGCAAAATATTATACATGTTATATGAGTGAAAAAGGATGATGTACCTTAACAAAAACTGCACTTGATGAACTTTTTTTATTTTCTACAAAAAACAAATCTGATTTAACAAAACTTTATGTATACTGAAAACAAGATATACTCAAAAACACATATCTAAAAACACTTCTGCTTTTCTGAATGTAAATACAACTTAATAATTTTTTTTTTTAAAGAGAAAGAAATTGAGTAACCTGAAAACCATACACAAAAGTATAATAAGCCGAATATTATTATTCATGTAAAATTCACTTGATGAATTGATATATTAAATGCCAGATCTTCCAGCAAGAGACCTGAAAGCATGATCCACTGCAAAAATTTTTTTTTCCTTATTTTTTCAAAAATTCAAATAAACATTTATCATGATATAAAAGCCACTTTATAAATCTTGTGCATGCAAATTATTTACTCTATATTGCCTTAAAAATATTTTTTTAAAAACTTTTACTGAAACCCTCAAACACACCCTTTTTTCTCCCAATAACATTTGAAATGCATACATCATAACTATGACAGTCAGATCACACATTAATCATGCTTACAGTATTTGTCAACTAGGGTGAAAAACTGCAGTTTTCCCCTCAATTTACCGGTATACACATGTATGTTGTAAAAATATATTTGCAAATTTTAAAAAGTATTAAAGTAGTGCAATGTACATCATACCAGGGATAATTGTGTAGAGCCACAAGATTTATTACATATCTTCTTACCAACAGAGTGCAGAAAGTTGAGCAAAGCTAATAACAATAAAAAAAGAACGAAAAAAAACCCCAAAAAGTAAAAGACTTGCAAATCATATCAACAATAGCTGCATCATAGCTCTAATTATACTTCTATATAAAATACCTTCTATTAGGGCTCTATAAACTAATGAGATTCAAGCAAATTACAGCACCAAACAAAACTTTGATTTTAAGAATCCATGGCAACAAAAATTACCTTAACTTTGCACACATAAATAAATATATGTCACATTTTTTGAAAAACTGTTTATGCCAAGAAAGAATCTATGTAGGCTATTACAAAAGAAAAAAACAAAAAGAAAAAGTAAATTTGCATAAAAATATGAGTATTTCAGCAATCTGTTTCATTACAAACTTCTTTTTGTATCATAAAATATTTTTAAGATTAAACTGGATTTCGAAATGAGGTAATGTAATAGCTGACTGAATTAAAATCTGCAGGAGGTTTAGTTACAAATGTATATCTACAGTTTACAATGCTCACGATGTGTCATTTCTTCCATAATCTGCCTTTTCTTTTACAAAAACTAATGTTTTCAGTACATTTAATACTGTAAATCACTTATTATTCCCAGGAACATTATTTTTCGGTAATAACGATGGTCTGCTTGCAAAAATTTCATTCTCCCATATATTTTTATTAGCATAGGATATATACAGCAATAACCAGCTTTTGTAAAAATTTTGTCTCAATATAAATACATGTACCAAATACCTGTCTCACAAAAATAAAGTGTTGCAAAAATTTGGTGATCTACAGTATTAAAAATGCTTTAAGTATTTGGGAAATGATCTAAATGTTTTCTTATATTCTACAGTGGCTGCAACGTTATTGTTGACAAACCAATCGTGTAGAATCGTTCGTGTAACGTGCGTGATCGTTCGTGTAACGTGCGAGATCGTGCGTGTATCAGACTCAATCGTTTGCGGTTTTAATCGTGCGTGATCGTGCGTTAAGAAACGTGTAAATTTCGTTTTGTAAGTTTTCATCGGAATGTTATTTATTATACAAGCATTTCGCTTGTCTAATTTCTTTTCAATCCAAATAAAATAAATGAAACGCGATTTACATAATTGAAAGCAGAACGAACTAATTATCGCTTGGAAATAAGCAATATAGTAAGTCGTACAATATTGTGTTCTTGTCAAATCGCGTGATTTTTTGTGATAAACCGTACTTACATGTTTAAGGATTTTTTTCTGTGATATTAATTATGTTTACTGCTAATTATGGTCAAGATATTTTTAAAATCAATAGATCAAAAAATAGATAATTTTACAAATAAATAAATAAACAATTCTCTACGCTTACATAAATATTTAGTCCGCGAATGTACATGTACACGACATGATTGTCGGGGTTTCGTTTATCAGTATTTATCTCTGGAGCTTACTTTTAACTATTTTTATAATTTCTGCAAATAAATGATTAAAATTTTGTAAAATAATTGTTGATTTTAGAGAATCACAAATTGAAACATGGAATTAACTTTAAGTATAATTTAATTTATTTTCATGCCAATTTTTTCAGACATATCCCTTTCTGCATATTATGAATTCTAATTCAATCAAAACTCACGGTCCACCTACATGAACATCTTCTGATAGATGAAAAAAAGTTTTCTTAAGTCGGAGAATTACGTAAATAATTATTTGTTATCTAATGTATATAGTTTCAGAATTAACCATTTCTATTTTTTCTATTATTTTTGAAAGTCGATGAAATAATATCAATAATTATTTGAAATCTAAAATAAATATTAAGGCTTATTTCGTTTTGAAAATATCCATTCCTAAAGAATTTGAACTATTTTGCGTGAAGAATCGTGCGTTTGCGTTAGCAATCGTGTAAGATCGTGTAACGTGTAGAATCGTGTGCGTGAGGGATCGTTCGTGTAACAGGTTTTATCGTGCGTTAATCGTGTGGAATCGTTCGTGTAACGTGATCGTTCGTGTAAGTTGTCAACAATAACGTTGCAGCCACTGTATATAGTAATTGACTGTTTTAAGCTGCAGAGTAAAATTGCTGATAACATAATTGGTCATTTCAACCTCATATTAAAGAGAGATGAATGTACAGATTTTATTATACAGGTCTGTGCCAAAGTGAAGATAATTTTTTTTCTCTATGTATTTTACTGAAAACCACATATAGTTAAATAGCTGACAAATGGTCAATTTTTATCCAATTTCATTATTTATTTCAGTATTTAAACCAGAAAATGTGTATTTATCTTTTTTCTAAAAGATAAGTACATATTTAGTTTTAAGAAAAAGATAGTTCATCATTTACATCAATTCTAAAATTCAAGATCAATGTTGACTATATAATTCTTGTGCATATATGACTTAAATTTTCATGTTGCACTTAAATTACAATATTTTTTAAAATATCGATGCTGATCAGATAAAAACTATTGTTTTTATCAAATATAACAATTTCTTGGATTATCGAGAAATGTGTGGTAAAAATTTGTCAAGAAATGTTGTCATTCCATTGATTTTACAAAATATTGTTTTCAATGAAATATACAGAAAAAAATAAAATTATCTTCACTTTTGGCACACATCTCATTGAATGAATTTTGTAAAAAAGCACTTACAATAATATAAAGTCTCGTAATAAGATAAACAAATCCAGTATGCCTAGACATCATTTCAAAGGATCAAGTTATTAAAATTCCTGTATCATTTTAAAGTGAACATAAAAAATATGGGTATCAGTTGTAGGTTTTGAGCTTCGCTTCAATTTTATTTAAAAAGTACAGGAAAATTTTGCTGTTCAAAGTGCAGAACACCAGCCCAAAATCAATTAGCTGATATTTTAACATAATATCTTAAAATTTTTACCCATGCTTACAACCAAATATCCTTCAAGTAAACATCAGTCATATTGAACAAAAACTTGTTATAGTAACTTGTAAAAATATGAATTCTTTAAAAAATATATCAAAAAAAGATTTGTCCAGATTTCGTATTAAAAAAAGAAAAAATTAATGATCACAATTATAATTTAAAGACATCTTATCTTTCCATAAATCCAAATCCAAAACAAGCATTGAAATAAATAAAATAAGTACAAACTTAAATTTTCATTGTTGGGATATGAATAGATTCAAAATTCTCTGCATTTCCACATAATGAAGAAATAAAAACATCACACATTGCAATTATACCTCCATACAGAACAACGATTCCATAGTAACACACAAATATTCTGTGCTTCACATTTTAGCACTGGGTGTTTAATATTTAATAATGATCAGATCTATGATCTTAAGTACTACTTGTAAAAATGTATAGCCAATAGTGCACACCATGTTAAAAAAGCAAGATATTGTTACTAGTTAGTATACCTTAACAACAAAAAATCAAAATATCACAGATAGACTTGATCATATTGTCATTCATAACTACACTGTAAATATCAAATATTGCTTCAGCTAAGTAATTTAATTTTGAGACAATTTTAAACTAAAAAAAAGTATAATTCCAAACAGTTGAGCATGAGCTCCAGGAAATAGAATCTTTTAATAAACTTAAAAAAGTGTTCCTGAGTTAAAAAGCCATTTGTAAGCGGTGATAAGAATTCAACAAGAGAATTAATGTCTGTGACTAATCTCTCCTTGCTCATCAAGATATCTTTTTGATGCATGAGACTGTCCCTTACTCAACCGGAACTGACCATTCATGCTTCACCCTTCCATACTAAAATTAGAAAAAGGAAGATTCTTTTTTCATTACATACAGAAATTACGGTCTACAAAACCTGCACATATCTCAACTTATAGCACATTTCTTCCTCTGTTAAACTAAATTATTGTTTCATATAATGTATATTGATGTCAGAAATATTTATAAATTACATTATTTGGTGAAAGTTGATGTACTGGAAATACAAGTCAGAAATCTGATTTAAAATAAACACTGGGTTAATTCTAACAAACTAACATAATACCTGTATATCTAACAGAGTTTTGTACATTCGCATCGTTAGCGGGGCTCCCTGGGACATGGTGGGGATGTTTAACCATTGGGATCTGTATAGTACCTTCTCCACGGGACAAACGACACAGGCAGTCCCCGCCCCAAAGAATTCCTTCACCTGTCAATCAAAACAAAGAATTGATATCACTACAAACAATACAGGCAGTCCCCACCCAAAGAACTCCTTCACCTAACAATCAAAACAAAGAATTACTATCAGTGCCTAGTTCTACATTAATGTACATTAGGATTAAAAAAATAAATCAAAAAATAATTAAAAAAAATTATAAAATAATATACTTTTTCTACACTAATTGCTAAGATATCACTTTCTGTATTTTATATCCAAATTTTGCAGATACATGTACATCAGTATAAACTAGGGATGTCAAAATATTTATTTTCCTTAGTCGATCATTCGATTGCATTATTCGAACGATAGTCGAATATTCGATCATTTCCCAAAAATAAAATTTTATTTCAAACTTCATTGGTACATCATCAAAAACCCTTTTACTTAAATCTATTTAAAAAGTTACATCAAAATTAATGCAATGTAACTCGTGGATAGCATGATTCTATGAAATAAATTAAGAAACTTAATTCTCTAAAATTTAATAGAATTCACAAATCGGCCTGTACATGCCATCATTTTTTATTTAGTAAGCATTAAAAAATTGCCAGCTGATATTTTTTAAAGCTTATTATGAAATGAAATGGATGGAGGGCTATCAAAATGTCCTCAAACAGTTTAAAATGTAAGCACATTGTTTTAATAATTATCGAAGTATCAAAACAGGTTTATTCCTTGCATTTGAGCAAACTTAAAATAACAAAGATAATTGGTACATGGTATAAGATCAAGTTCAATTAATTTTACAAACAAAGCCCATTATATTGTGTGGTAATTTATTATAAAAACAACACAGGCCATTGCTGACAATTAATTCTCGCAGTAGTGAAGCACAATTGCTGTACTTTCTATATGTACATGGAAAATCTACCGTTTTTTGTTGAGGAAAATTATCGACTGCCTATGAGGAAAGACTCTTTCTCAATTTTTTTGATGAGAGTTCCATATCATCTATCACTCATTTATTGCATTTATTTAATTAAAATAATATTTGAATGTTGTTTCATTATTCGATCGTCGGTCCATTCGACTGACAGTCGAATTGTCGACTATTCGTTGACATCCCTAGTATAAACATTATTTCTTGTAAGTGTTATCACAAATGGGTCTTATAGAGATTCACAAATGTCAGACATTGTTAGTATTTGTTTGTGGGATTACTGGAAAAACCTTTCTTACCCTGTTTTCTTTCAGTCCTTTGATTAAATCTTGCATAGTATACTCTCGTTCAGAAACCTTAAACTCTCCCTGAAAGAGCAAGATACATGAACAAATACCGAACACATACAAAAATTAATTGTTTTGTTTCTCTCATAGCATCTTTGCAAAATATATGAGTAAACTGATATATTATCAGTGTTAATAGTACAAAAATATACAATTCTTAGGATATCATGCAAAATTGTTTTTAAATTTCAATGTTTTTGATTTACCCAGGATTTTGCTAGCTCCAGTAGACTTTTTCTGGTAATCCCAGGCAACACCAGACCATTTAATGGACAAGTCACCAGCTCATCCTCTGTGATACCAAAAATCATTATTACTTTATTAGGCATATGTAATACTTACAAAATTTTAACATATGTACATGTAATACTTACAAAATTTTAATTTTATATAAATTAACTCCCTGTAGTTCATATTTGTATTTGTATTTGTAAAGATTGAATTTTTTACACTCTAACCATGATATATTAATGTTGTCATAAATTTGCAAAATTCTGTGGTTTAAATGATTTGCCAAATAAAAAAAAGTCACTTATAAACTGGAATTGTCAATAACATGAAGTCACTGAAAGAATCAAATGCTACCTATATCGAATCTACTCATGAAAATTTCAAATATAAATTTATTTTTCATCCTACTCTTATCAGTAAATCCCATTCCAGACTACCTCTGATTTTGGGTATGTAATTAGGAATGAAACAAGAGGCCCAAGGGCCTTAACGGTCACCTGAGTATAATACAACAATTTATAAAATGAACTGAAAGGTGAAGCTTTGTTGCCCAAAAGCAAGAAAAATAGGGTGATCAGGATGAACAAAATAATTAATCTAGTATTCATTGATAGTTTATAAATTAGGTTCTAATCTGTTCCCCATTTATCACTTTCACTATACAGTATATTAACAAGAGGCCCATGGGCCACATCGCTCACCTGAGCACATTGGCAAGGCAAAAGCACAAATCAGTTCAGTATTGAAAAGATAAGGGGGGGGGGGGGGGAGGGGGCTTGAATTTTAAACTACCTGCTGATGCTTCCATGTCAATATAACAAATGGCTTTGATGTACTTGAGAAGATTTTTAAAAAATTTTCCCATATATTCCTTTGTAAAAATTTGATCCCCCATTGTGGCTCCTCCCTATCCCAGGGGTCATCATTTGAACAAACTTGAATCTACACTACCTGAGGATGCTTCCATATCAATATGACAAAACATAGCTTTTCTGTTCTTGAGAAGAAATTTTTTTCTATATGTTCTAATGTAAAAGTTTCGATCCCCCTATTGGGCCCCACCCTACCCTCGGGGGTCATCATTTGAACAAAATTGAATTTACACTACCTGAGGATGCTTCCATATCAAAATGACTAAACATGATTTTCAGTTCTTGAGAAGAAGATATTTTCCTATATGTTCCTATGAAAAATTTTCGATCCCCCATTATGGCCCATCCCTATCCCCTGGGGTCATCATTTTAACAAACTTGAATCTACACTACCTGAGGATGCTTCCATATCAAAATGACTAATCATGGCTTTGCAGTTCTTCATCAGAAGATATCTTACTATATATTTCTATTTCAGACTTTTATCCTCCATTGTGGCCCCACCCTACCTCAGGGGGTCATGATTTGAACAAACATGAATCAACACTACCTGAGGATACTTCCACATAAATATGATCAATCAGGGCTTTGCTATTCCTGAGAAGAAGATTTTTAAAGATTTTTCCTATATTTTTCTATGTAAAACTTTGATCCTCCATTGAGGCCCCACCCTACCCCCAGGGGGTCAGGATTTGAACAAACTTGAATCTACACTACCTGAGGATGCTTTCAAATAAATATGACCAATTAGGGCTTTGCTGTTATTGAGAAGAGGATTTTTAAAGATTTTTCCTACATATTTCTATGTAAAACTTTGATCCTCCATTGTGGCCCCGCCCTACCCCCGGGGGTCATGATTTGAACAAACTTGAATCTACACTACCTGAGGATGCTTCCATATAATTATGATTCATCATGGCTTTGCTGTTATTGAGAAGAAGATTTTTAAAGATTTTTCCTATATATTTCTATGTAAAACTTTGATCCTCCATTGTGGCCCCGCCCTACCCCCGGGGGTCATGATTTGAACAAACTTGAATCTACACTACCTGAGGATGCTTCCATATCAATATGACTCATCATGGCTTTGCTGTTCTTGAGAAGAAGATTTTTAAAGGTTTTTCCTATATATTTCTATGTAAAACTTTGATCCTCCACTGTGGCCCCATCCTACCCCCGGGGATGATGATTTGAACAAACTTGAATCTACACTACCTGAGGATGCTTCCACATGAGTTTCATCTTCCCTGGCTTTGTGGTTCTTGAGAAGAAGATTTTTAAAAGATGCTATTAATTTTTCACTAATTCTTTATTATCTCCCCTTGAAAGATTGTGTGGCCCTTCATTTGAACAAACTTGAATTCCCTTCACCCAAGGATACTTTGTGGCATGTTTGGTTGAAATTGGCCCAGTGGTTCTTGAGAAGAAGTCAAAAAAGTGAAAAGTTTACAGACGGACAGACAGACGGACAGACGGACTATAGACAAAATGTGATCAGAAAAGCTCACTTGAGCCTTCGGCTCAGGTGAGCTAAAAACCCATCAGTGCTTCTGTACTATTTTAATTTCTTGTTGAAATCTCTTACACTGGCCTCTCTTGGTGATGAACATTTAAGAAGACAAGTTATTTTTGTTCCATTTTTATTTATCTATTACTTACAAGTCTACCTGATCATTAAAACTATGAAAATACTTTTTGTCTTATACAATAAAAATTCTTGCATAATTCTCTTATTCTATTAACCTTTCAAGTACGGTACATTGTTGCCAGGGGCAGAGAAGATTTTCAAAGAAACAAGCATTCTGAGAGTATTGCATTAGCAATACTAGTCCCCTACCGGCAAGTGTAATCTGGTTCCCGTTAAGAATTGAAAATGCCATAATTCCTTCAAAAATTAATAAAGCGGGACGAAATGCAAACTTGATCTATAACTAATCAAGGTAAAGCTACATACCAAAAACCAGCTCAATATCTACAAGCGTTTAGAAGAAAATTGCGGAAAACCCTTAAAAATTGAAAAGGCCGTAATTCTGTCAAAAATCAATGAAGCGGAACGAAATGCAAACTTGATCTGTAACTCATCACGATACACTTACATACCAAAAATCAGCTCAATATCTGCAAGCGTTTAGGAAAAAAGTGCGGAAAACCAAGTGGGACAGACTGACAGACAGACAGACGGACGGATGGACAGACTCAGAGGAAACCTATAGTCCCCTCCGTTTTCACCGGTAGGAGACTAAAAATTCACCTTCACTATAGGATCTATATAGCCCCACCCTATAACCAGAACCCCTGTCCATGGGGCCATGAATTTCAAAATTTTGGAAGAGGCATCATTGCTTATCATAACAATGTACTTTGTTTGTTTCAAAAATATCCAGGAGCAGAGAAGAAAATTTTTAAAGCATTAATGCATTTTTCACTACATAATAAATAGAGCCCGGCCCTAACATCAGAACCCCTGATCCAGGGGTCATGAAAATCCCTATTTTGGAAGAGTCACCCATGCTTATCATAACTATGTATTTAATTTGTTTCAATAATACCCAGGAGTAGAGAAGATTTTCAAAGAAATAATGCACTTTCACTATATGATCTATATAGCCCCGCCCTAGCACCAGAACCCCTGACCCTGGGGCCATGAATTTCACAATTTTGGTAGAGGGCTCAATGCTTATTACAATTATGCCAACAGTTTGACTGCTTGATGTCCAGGAGTAAAGAAGAAGATTTTTAAAGATTGCATTAATTTTTGTGGTTTTAGCCCCACCCCTCAGGCCCCAGGGGGGCAGGGACCATGATATTCACAAATTTTGTTCCCCTTCACACATAGATGCCATATGCTAAAATTGGCTGAAATTGATTCAGCGGTTTCAGAGGAGAAGCTGAAAATGTTCAAATATTAACACACGACGGAACACCCATGACGACGGACGAAAACAGATAGCAATAAGTCACCTAAGTGACTCAGGTGACCTAATAAAAAGGTTATCAGATGAACACCACACCTCCATTTTCGTTGGTCCAATACATAAAGAGATTCATGGCCCCCACTTCTGTGATCTGTTCCTCCTGCCCAAACAACCATAACACCTGTTGACAACCCTTGGAGGCAGCCTCTTGCTGGATGCTCATGGTGGGGGCATAATTACTAAAATTAACATCATAAAAAAACATTTATATCACATTTAGATGTTTGTAACTGACATTTAATTTAGGTATTTTGTTTCTGAATTTTTTAAAAAAGTCTTTCCTTAGAGCAAAAAAACCCATTTCTACAAGGAAAATAATATTCTACAATTGCTGCTATAAATAATAAAGGAGTTTTGTTCTTCTAAAGTTGTTCATCAGTAACTTTGAGAGTTTATCAGTATTATATACTTATTAAGTATTATATTCTTATTAAGTATTATATACTTATTAAGAAATGAAATCACTCAAAATACATAATAAGCTAATGAATAATTTGAAATTTCATGAGGTGCAACTTGATTCATAGTCAACTAGAAAACTGACCAGTCAGCAAGGGCCCCACCGAGGGGTAGAAATATAAGGGTGCAGCTTACAGAATGAGAATTTTAATTGATTACAAAAATTAAAAAATATACAAAGAAGAATATGCAATAACAACTGTATTTATAAAATTTCAAGATAATTCATAAATATCCAACAACCTATAAATAGTATCCCTGTATTTACATAAGGCAGTAAAAAACATCATATCTATAATAATTCAATTAAATGTATATTTAAACAAGAATAAAGCATGTGTTTTATAAAATGCCAGCCTTCAGTGAATGCAAACATCACCCAGGCTTGACCTTAACTTCAAAACAAACATCAGTTGCAGACAAAGGTTATTTTTTTTTTTTTTTTTTTTTTTTTTTTTTTTTTTTTTATTAATACCAATTGTCACATACATGTCTATAATCTGGATTACAACATTATATCATTAATGAATATAATAAACAAATAAACAAAAAAAAATTATAATTGTGACAACTGAGAGATAGAGAGAGAAAGAAAGAAGGAGAGAGAGGGGAGGGGGTTGAGAATGGTAAAAAAAGAGCATGATCAAAGATAAATGTCTGTTCATTAAAGTACTGGTAAGAGTATGTCCAAGGATTGTGCAAAATATCTTTAAGTGCCTATTTGCAGGGTCTTACATAAGTGAAAGCCAATTTTTCCATTTATTATTAAACTCTTTAATTTGATTACTTTTTGTTGCGCTATATTTCATGGTAGATAGTAATATTTTAACATCTCCACGTAATCCTTGTAATCTCAAAACCTCATTACGACATTTAGTTCTGTATATAAATGATTTAATACATAACAGTATTGTATTTAATTCCTTACTATTGGGTATTGGGTTTCCAAGTATGAATGTACAACTATCTATTGGAAATTCTATATTATGAGCTTCGCAAAGAATGGTAAAACTATTTATAAGTTCTTGAACCTTCTGGCATTCCCACATAATATGAAAAATTGTTTCCTCACATGTCTGACAGAAGCTACACAATTTAGTATCTTTCAAACCCATTTTATATAAAATTTTATTTGTAACTAAGATATGTTGATTTATTCTGAATTGTAGCCATTGTAATTTAGAACTTTTTGTACATTGGAAAGGAATTTTGTATAGCATTTCCCATAGGGAATCTTGAATTTCAAAATGTTTACTCCATTTCACTTTTGAGAAAGGTACTATATGTTCTGTATTCAAAATATTATACATAGGTTTTGTTCCTTTTTTAGCTAAACAGAAAAATTTAAATAAAAAGGTAGAATGGGCTTTGGGTTTGATCTTTCTTTGTTTACTTTTTCTACAGCCATAGCTACTTTTATAACTTTCTGTAGACTTGCATAGGTTAAAAAAGTGGTTTCTATATTAAATTTTGCTTGAAGTTCTTCTAATTTTAGAAAAGTTCCCTGTTCATCTAACAAATCTGAAATAAATATTACACCATTGATAAACCATTTAGAGTAAAAAATGGGCTTATTGTCAATTTTGAGTTTTTTATTGTGCCATAATGGTTGAGAGATGAAATCTTCCCAGGAATCTATTTTCATTTTGTCTTCTATGTTCTTTAAGGCAATTAATGTATCTTTCCAAAAATTATTAGTTATACTTTGTAAAATTAGTTCAATATAATTTGAGCCAGTATTAAATAATTTTTCAATATTAAAGGCTTTTTGAATAAGTCAAAGGTTAATTTATCTTAAAGTGACAAATAATGATAAGCCTGGAAAATTCTCTTCCCCAGACAAGATAATTAATCCCAGGGGATTAATTGTACTGCTCTCACATCCATTTCTTCCAAGTTTACAATTGGAACTTTTTCGGTAATGATAGAATGAGTTTATTATTGGACTTTCTGTTGTAATTAATAGTATTCTTGAATTTACATATGGCAACCAAAAAAAAAAAAAATAAATAAATAAATTAATAAAATAAATAAATAAAAACAAAAAAAAATTTGAAAACATGTCTTTATGTATATCTTGTTTTCAGAATTTAATAAAATCATAACTCATTGTGTATTTTACCAAAATAAAGTATGAACATTATTTAAATCCACATTTCAGAGAATGTAAATCATTCAGAATTGACCTTAACTCCAAAACAAACTTCATTTGCAGACAGAGGTGTTAATTAATCTCAATTTGACAGAAACAGATAATGCTTTGGAGCTGCAGCTTTCACAGTTTACAATAGGAACATTCTCAGCAGTTATCTCTCTTTGCCCTGGCATTCATTCTAATGTAAAGTTAAGGAATCTACCCCACCACCCCAGCTCCAAAGTGGATGACATAGAGAACCAAACTTAGCATCAAAATATGTCTTACTGCCTTTTCAACCAACATACCAAATTTGAACTTAATTGGTCAACTACAAAAAAAGTTATTGGAAAAAAACAGAAAATTTGTGGACGGAAGAATGACAGACGGACAGACAGACAGACAGGGTGATTACTATAGGGCACCCGCAAATCCTTGCGGGGCCCTAATAAGTAAAAAATTACAGAGCATAATTTTGTCAGATTTATTACATTCTGTCTATAAAGGGTACCCACCATCCCAGTTTGAAGCTGCCGCTGCCCCCTGGCCACGCCCTGACATACTTGGGATCAGCTAGCAGGGACACTGGTTTGAGTCCTGTAGGGTAGTAAGCTCCCACAGGGCCAATCAAAACAAACAACAGTGCTTCATGTGAGGTGTCCACACGCAGCACACCCTGTTTTAACAATAGATTTAAAAATATGTATATTTCACTTAGAAATCCTATCTTTGTACAAAGTAAAAACTTCCAGTGTTTCTCCATTACGAAGTTATGGCCCAGGCACATTACAAAAAGTAGATATAAAGACAGTCCACTAATGGACTAAGTACCAGTACTTTTTTTTTTCTTTAACTCAGTGGATTACCTCTGTTCCTATCAATGTGGGTCTGATATAGAGAGAAGCCTTCTCAGAGTTAGGCACCCAGTCCCTGTCAATACTAATCAATTTCTTGATGCATTTTATGAGCTCATCACCATCAAAAGTCTGAAAGAGAAATCATCCCACTTGAAACTTTTTTAAACAAATATTTTTACAGGGTTTACAAACATTGCAGCAAAACCATGTGTTTTACCTTGATCTTTCACAATTTTCACTTTTTCCCTATGAAAAATTACTTCTAAAATAATTAAAAGAAGGCTTGTTTTCCTTTTTCTATTGATTATTACCTGTCTCATTTAAGTCTACATATAAAAACTGATCAAAGTGTCACACTGCACCTCCCGTGACTAATACCAGCTCTGTTTTCCTTGATTCTTACCGGCAGTGATGCTCTTTTGGCTGAACTCAGCATCCTAGCCATGTTCTCTGTTGGTCTGAAGAGATTAATCTTTCCCTCAGCAGTCTTGTAGGCCTTCATTCCTTCAAACAACTGAATATACAAACATCGAGATTTCCATGAAAAAACAATCAACCATCAAACTTCAGTATTAAAGCTGCAAATAATTTAAACCTTTTTTTCTTTCTCTCTTATTCTGGAACAAACCATAAGTGTGGAAATTTTTCAGGAGTATTTTTGTTTACCAAATCTCCTGTTTGGAATTATTTTGGGCAAAATAAGGAAAATCCTTTTTTAAATATGATGCTATTATGTTGCATACAGTTTACACAATCAATCCCCATGAAAAATGTTCTTTGATTCACTTTGAAACATAATATGGTTTAATAAATCTAAGAACATTATGCATAGGGCTTGATTTTGCAAAGTTTTTCTGTTAGGAAAATACACAAAAATTACACTTTCACAAACATTTTCACATATACAGAATATTTTTTGGTATAAACATTGATTATTTTTACTGCATTGCCTTTCTGCAATTTTTTGTCTTACTTATTCAAAGAGCAAGATACACCATAAAGATATAATATCTTGTATTACCTCTGTTGCATAATGGAAGCACTTGGCCCCAGGATGGAGGGAGAGGTTGTGGAGTGGGGATATCAGAGGCTTTCCCCATCCTTTGTCAGCTGACCAGGAGATTTCCAGCATGTGGTCACTAAAGCTGTGACCAAATGGCAAGGTATCAGGGTCACTGGGTTTTGGCTTAGGGGCATTGGTCAACTGTACTTGAAGATCCGAAGCCTTAAAAAAAGAATCGATGTATCAAACCATGGTTTGAAGATATTTATTGTCTTTAAACCTTACAACTGGGATCGGGCAAAAGTTCTAAAACCTTAATACGCCCTTTCCCTACAAACCATGTGAAAAATGATACAATTTTAAGCCCCCTCCCTCCACTTCCTCACACACACACACACACACACACAAGAACCAACATGAAGAAAAAGAGTATGTACCTTAAAAGTGCTTGAAGAGGCATATCTGTATTGGCACAAGATGTGAGATCGTTTGAGAGGTTGGATATTCTTTAGCAAGTTCTGTAAAAAGACATTGTCAAATGAAACATGAGCATATACAAATACATGCTATTTTTGTTTACTCCTTTATCTACTATACCTAACAGTTTCTATACTACACCTCTTGATGTAAACATGCAAATATGTAGACAAAATGTGTGTGTGCATTTGTAAACACAGATTTGATAAAATCAATGAAATGAAACATTCCATTTCCACTTGAGAAAAAAAAGAAGAATTTTTGTTTTGGCTTTATTTTATTATGAAATCAGTTTATAAGTGACATAGTATCTGTGGAATAAAATAGGAAAAAATGAAAGGGGGATAAAACCATTTAAAGCTGGTAAAAAATACTAGACTAAAGGCACCAATGGCAAGGGGACAGAAAACACTCAACAAGTTGGACAAAAATCATATCCAAACACAAAACATAGGAAATCTTATTCTGTATATAAGAACTGTCAATCAATCTAAATTCAAATTCTATAATAAGATTCTACAATAGACATGACATCTAAATTTTGTAAAACTTTAAGATTAAACTTAAATTTTTCCTATTTTATAGAAATACTAAACACATTAAAAAATTCTAATGGGGATGTAACGATTGCTCCCCCTTTTTTTCATGTTATGATGTGTTGAATGTCAAGCATCATTATGTTATTTAATTACACGTTTGTTGATGGTTTACTTGTACATACATAGTTGTAAAGTTGTACAGTAATTTATGATTACCTCATGATTACCTTAATTGTCGTGTGATCGATGTTTTTAGCGTTCTCGAGCACACGTTTTACTGAAAGTTCTGCCGCAGCCATACTTTGTTTACTTGTGTATTTTCCCATGATGCTTCACGGTGTATTGATCTATTTTTACCGTAGTTATTTTGGCGGAAGATTTGATTGTAGATTCTGTTTAATCAAATGTTAAATGTGCTTTTAAAGTGTAAATTTATATTTTATTAATTTATTTACATATTGTAATAATTTTACATATGATGTACGAGAGTGACATTTCATTACAGGATGGTAATTATGTATGATTGGCTAATTATTAATTACAGGATGGAATTATTAATTATGATTGGTTATTAATTATTGCGGGTTTTGGAAGTTCTATAAATACACAGACGCCGAGTATCGGGTGCTCTCTTGTTTCCTTTGTGTCATAAAGAAAGGTCGCCAGTTTTTATCCAGATTAAGGTGTGTACTATTTCAGTATATATGTGACTGAAGTACATATGTAGTGCTAGGCTAAATTAATATTACTAGTCATTGTGCTAGTTTCATTTATTACATGTATTACTAGTTAAAAACTAGTTATTTCTATTTTCTTTAAGAGTTAGGAAATATTTCTGCTGCGTGCTAGTAGTTGAACTAGTAGGGGGAATATTTATTTGTAAATTTAGTCATTTATAGAGAGCCTTTCCGTTTTAGTTTGGTCGGGGGAATTTATACATAAATGTTATACTGGAAATAGTGCCAGTTTATATCCGTCCGTATCAGTAGTTGTACTGATTTTTGTCTTTTGTCCCAAGGGTTGAGACTTGTCAATTTTACACACTGTTACTTATTTTCACTGTTGAACTACCTCAATAAATTATAAACTTTATTTAGCGACTTGGTTTTTATTCCTAGCATTTGCAGGAGTGTTTGACATCTGAAGCGTTACAGGGAAAAAAGAAATGCATTAAAAATTATAATTGGATTCCCATGAATAAAAATGTGTTGCATAAGTATCCATTAATGTAAAAAAAAAATTACATGTCATTTACATAAGATAAATGATTAAAATTCTTCATCTTTATGAAAAAAGTATATAGGCTTAAAGTTAAAAAAAAAAAATTAAACTTCTGGTGGATATAGACCTAACTGATTTATGCAAAGTTAAAATTAAAGGAAAAAAACAACTATTCATGAGTACATATAGTCTATATATGTACTAGAGTTCTAGCATAGAATTGCTTTAATAACAAGAGGCCCATGGGCCACATTGCTCACCTGAGCACATTGGCTAGGCAAAACCACAAATCAGTTCAGTATTGAAAAGGTTACGGGGGGGGGGGGGGGGGGGGGGGGGGGGGCTGATGATGCTTTCATGTCAATATAACAATGGCTTTGTTGTACTTGAGTAAATTTTGAAAAAATTTCCCCATATAATCCTTTGTAAAAATTTGATCCCCCATTGTGGCTCCTCCCTATCCCAGAGGTCAATGTTTGAACAAACTTGAATCTACACTACCTGAGGATGCTTCCATATCAATATGACTAAACATAGCTTTTCTGTTCTTGAGATGAAATATTTTTTCTGCATGTTCTTATGTAAAACTTTCGATCCCCGATTGGGCCCCACCCTACCCCCGGGGTCATCATTTGAACGAATTTGATTTACACTATCTGAGGATGCTTCCATATCAAAATGACTAAACATGATTTTCAGTTCTTGAGAAGAGGACATTTTCCTATTTGTTCCTATGTAAAATTTTCGACACCCTAATGTGGCCCATCCCTATCCCCGGGGGTCATCATTTTAACAAACTTGAATCTACACTACCTGAGGATGCTTCCATATCAAAATGACTAATCATGGCTTTGCAGTTCTTGAGAAGAGGATATTTTCCTATTTGTTCCTATGTAAAATTTTCGACACCCCATTGTGGCCCATCCCTATCCCCGGGGGTCATCATTTTAACAAACTTGAATCTACACTACCTGAGGATGCTTCCATATCAAAATGACTAATCATGGCTTTGCAGTTCTTCATCAGAAAGATATTTTCCTATATATTTCTATTTAAGACTTTGATCCTCCATTGTGGCCCCACCCTACCCCAGGGGGTCATGATTTGAACAATCTTGAATTTATACTACCTGAGGATACTTCCACATAAATATGAACAATCAGGGCTTTGCTGTTCCTGAGAAGATTTTAAAAATTTTTCCTATATATTTTTATGTAAAACTTTGATCCTCAATTGTGGCCCCGCCCTACCCCCAGGGGTCATGATTTGAACAAATTTGAATTTTTACTACCTGAGGATGCTTCCATATAAATACTACCAATCAGGGCTTTGCTGTTCTTGAGAAGAAGATTTTTAAAGGTTTTTCCTATATATTTCTATGTAAAACTTTGATCCTCCATTGTGGCCCCACCCTACCCCCGGGGGTCATGATTTGAACAAACTTGAATCTACACTACCTGAGGATGCTTCCACATGAGTTTCATCTTCCCTGGCTTTGTGGTTCTTGACAAGAAGATTTTTAAAAGATGCTATTAATTTTTCACTAATTCTTTATTATCTCCCCTTGAAAGAGGGCATGGCCCTTCATTTGAACAAACCTGAATCCCCTTCACCCAAGGATACTTTGTGGCAAGTTTGGTTGAAATTGGCCCAGTGGTTCTTGAGAAGAAGATGAAAATGTGAAAAGTTTACGACAACAACGACGCCGACGACGCCGACGACAGACAACGGACAAATTTTGATCAGAAAAGCTCACTTGAGCCTTTGGCTCAGGTGAGCTAAAAATGTTTGCACATAACTCATTTACAATTAACCATCCTCTTCAAAAGTTGTACAATTTTTCTTTTTTTTTCATGTCTTGTCTTTGCATACAGAAATAAGATAATTGAAATACCATTTTTTCTTTGCCTGTCAAAGAAGTGACACTTTAGACGTGCTAATGAATAATTTCAGTGATTTACCTTTTATATCATAGATCATTCATTATGCAAATTTCATACAACTTTAAATCTTATTATTTCTATCTAATAATGAATTATTCACTGAAATGGAACCACAATACTAGGACACAAAATTCAATTAACAAACCTAGACATTCATGAATTAAAGTGCGATCATTTAAAAAATGTAAAAGTATTCAAAACATTAATTTTATATCACAAAATTAAAAAAATAGAAATAAAAGAGATGTAGTAATTTTATATTCACAACCCCCCTTTAAGATAATATTTATAGAACAAAAAGGAGTAAACAACACACCTTTGAAAATAAACCAATCAGAAATGTGCTTAGATGGCACACCTCCAAAAATGAGGTCAAGTATGTCACTGTCAAGTTTTGTTCTAATATTAAGTTACTTGTTTAAGTTTTTTTTTATTTTATGACAAATCCAAAGCATTAAAATTGTGTGTGTTTTTATTAAACCTATTGTATGTAGAATTGCATTCAAGAAGTGCTTCTAGGAAAAACAGGATCTAATATGATATTCTAGTGCGTAAATAATTCCTTGTTTACAAACATCCTCTATTTGTACAGGAAATATTACATGCGTAGAAATGTAATGTTGAATGAATCAGCAGTAGAGAAAGTGAAAAAAAAAAATCATTTTTTATATTCAAATCAGAGTAATTCATTCTATTTTAATTATTATACAAAATCAAGTTATACAATAAAATTAGAATCGTAAGCAGCTAGAGCTCTGCTAGCTGTGGCTCTGAGTCTGATTTATGAGCATGTAAAAATCTTTATGGACTGGAAAGTTTGTTTTTTTTTTAAGAGAAATACAATTTCCAGACTTGATATTTTTTTCTTCAAAAACAATGGTATGGAACAAGATAATATTTACGTAACTTTTCCACATGACCAAGGCATATTACACACACAAAAAATGCAAAGAAGAAACAAATCAAATATTGTTCCTAACATCCTCTGAAAAATCACAATGAATCAAAAATATACTAATTGTAAAGTTAAAATTAAAAAAAATAATAAATCGAAAAATATCGACCTTGAATATAGAAAAACGTGTTTTCAAAGGCAAACAACGTCGGAGATCGTAATTCGATTTTTCAGAGTTATCTTCCTTCATACTTTCTTTTTTTGTCAGATAATATATTCATATAATGATTCTCAACATTATCTAATAAATGTAATTCAATGTATTAAACAAAAGCCCTAAATAAACGTAAAATCCACAGCTCATATTACACTGTTTACTTCTTACCATGCAGCTCACCGCCATCTTTCTTTATGGATCTTCTGGGATTGAAGGTAATAAAATA